AAATCGTTATTGATACTTAAATAGGAAGCGTGGAGAATGTGGGTCGAGCGACTGATATCTCCGCATCATAATGCTTTTTTTCAGTGAATACCGCGACGGAGAAAGGAAAATCCGAAGAAGTCCCTTGTATAGACGACAACAAGTTCTATCGAAATCCTAAAACACCGTCACATAACGTTTGGTCGCCTACAGAATGTGCCAAATATTTTCTCTGTTTAGGTAATTAGAAATTATACGAAAAGGAAAAAAGTCGTATTTAAAGATTGACCATTTATGAATTTTAATCGCTTGTCTCTGTCAATAAAAATATATCATTTTATCTCTTTTCATTATGTTAATATAAATAATAATGCACGTATGCTTGTCAATTAATAATATATTGATTAAAATGTTATAATAATAAATTGCTTAATTATTAAAATATATTGCTTAAAATAAATATTAATCATATCTTACAAAAAAATATCAATTATGAAAACTGAACATTTTAATTAGAAATTATTTCTCTTTCATTTAATTAAAAGTTTTATTTTTTTTTCTTTTTTCTTGTCACATCTATTTAATATACTTATAGAAAGAATTTTTCTTACGGGAACAATATTTAAACATAATCACAGCTTTGAATATAATATTACAATTATATTGTACATATATATATTTCTTTTTTATTATGTTCTTTTTTACGAGAATATTTTTACAAGTTTCTGTGTTCAAAAAACACATGTACTTTTTAAATCATATATAATTATCCTCACATAAATTTTTTTTGTTTAACAATAGAAATAATGTATCATTTCTATTGTTAAAACAAAAAAAATTTATGTGAGGATATATAAATAATCATATTGTTTACTTTGATATGTGAAATCTAAATATGATGCGCGTATTAATTATTAAATTTCAGATAATGAAGTATTCGAATTCAAGTGCTCGCAAGGACTGCTTTTCGACGTCTCCAGGCAGATCTGCGACTTTAAGACAAATGTCGATAATTGTGATGTAGCTTCAGGTATAATTATATATATTATACATATTATAAACAGAATAAAGGCATCAGCGGATCTTATGTCGATTTCTACTCGTGTAAGAAAACGATCGAATGTTATACACGTAACTATTACTTTCACTCGAAAAATCATATAGTGCAGTGAGTTAATCTCATTTTGAGCATTAAATTTCGTTTGATCATTAAATCTCTTATTAATGATTCCAATTTGTGTCTATTATAAATATTGAACGCTTTAACTTTAATTTTTAATTTTTAATTTTAAGCAAAATATGTAATTATTGTCTTAATCTATTAAGATTGGATCTTATCGGAAATAAAGATTCCATAAAGCTTCAAAATAACTTTGTAAATAAGTTTTGTAAATAAATATGTAGTTTAAAGAAGTAGCATTATACTATATACCGAATGGTGATGTGAAATTTTAAAAGCTTCTCGTAGATGCTCAACCTGCGAAGCCGTTGCTGAAAAATGGCGAGTGTGACGACAAAAATCTGGCATGCGGAGATAGTACGTGTCTTCCGGCTCTATACTTTTGCGATGGAAACGTCGATTGTCCTGACGGTTCTGACGAAGGATGGTGCGGTAAGAGATGTAAATGATGCGCAAATATATATCTCGCATCAAAATCTTCGTACACATAGATATGGACATAGTGTCCCTTATCTTTTAAATTGTACAGTTTTATCGCGATAAATATATGTAATATATGAATGTCGATATATGTAAAATTTAATATATGTGTATTGATATATAAAAAATAATTGGAAAATAATTTATACAAAATCTCTCTTATTTTGCGAAACGCTCTTTACAAGATGCTCTCACATTTGTATATTTGAAAGTAAGAGAAATTGCGAGTGTGTATTTCGTATTTATTTCACGACATAAAAATATAAAATAATAATCTTTATAATACATAATTTTTAATTATTAATGTAGCATCGATCTGTTACAGATATGCAACATGATACAAATGCTGCACCGGCATGCGACACGCAGAAATGCCGACTGCCAAATTGTTGGTGTTCCAAAGATGGAACTCAAATTCCAGGAAATCTTACCGCACTCGCTGTTCCACAAATGATAGCAATTACTTTCGATGACGCTGTGAATGCTGAAAACTTCGAACTCTATTCAAGTAAGAAGCTAGTACTTACGTATCAGTTCAATAATCAATTTTCTTACTTCGCGATTCCTCTCCTCATTTTCTTTTAAAAACGTTTGAATAAAGTTATATTGAAACTTGAGTAAATATAAACATTATTTGAGTCTCTCAAAAGCCAAATTAATTAATTTCATTTTTTATAAATTTTTTAAAGCTGATTAGGTTGGCTTCTGAGAGACTTATTCATAATTACATATTCATAAATACATACATCTATTAGACATTAATTTTCCTCATTTTCTTCTTATAACAAAGATTTGTTTGAGAAAAAAAATAAAAAATATAAAGAATAAAATTATAGAATAATAATAGAAGACAATCATTTACAGAAATATTTACGGATGACAGAAAAAATCCCAACAGCTGTCCCATAAGAGGTACTTTCTATATCAGTCATCAGTATACGAATTATAGAGATGTACAGTATTTGTGGAACATCGGCCACGAAATAGCCGCACATTCCGTTACGTGAGTATTTTGAATAAGATGTTGAGAAAAACAAAAATTGAGATAAGTCGTGTAGATCATTTGATTCGATATGTAAAATAAATCAAGGATCATTTATTACTCAGGCATCGCGGACCAGAGGAATGGTGGTCGAAGAACGCGACGATCGAAGATTGGTTCGACGAAATGGTCGGAGTAGCAAACATTATCAAAAAATATGCAGCGGTTCGAATCGGCGATATCAAAGGTAAAAATTTCAATAATTTGATGTAATTTCATGATTAAATCGAAAAATTACTCACTTAATTGATAATTATTAAATGAAGTCTTACACATAAATATTGCACTCATATTAATTTTATATATTTGAATATAAATACTTAAATTATAATTTAATTACATTGATTTAAAACAAATGCCATATATCTTCCGATCATTCTATCGTTTTTCGAGAGAAGAAAACGTGTGTTTATTATGGGGCAATAATGTCGGTAGGGATAAGGGCCCCTTTTCTGCAGGTTGGATGGAATCGCCAGTTCCTGATGATGTCCGAATTTGGCTTTGCTTACGATTCCTCAATCGTTGCACCATTCTCTGATCCACCTTTGTGGCCCTACACGCTCGATTACAAACCACCTCATCCGTGCGTCCGCACGGGACAAGTTTGTCCAACTCGTTCCTACCCAAATATCTGGGAGCTACCTCTAAATCAGCTTTTGGCAAATGTAAGTAAATGCCACACACGTGACAGACTGAAATGTTTCTCGTTTGTTGATAAGTATCAAGTAAAGATGGAAAGCTGAGATCGAGCGGGCGCGTATAACTTTTAATATAAGATTGTTACATGCGCGAAATAAATTGCACAATTTCAAAATTTATGTATCTATAAGAAACACAAATCTTTTCGATTTATGATCATGATTTATCGGAAATGATTATCGGAATATGAACAAAATGACACAAAAGATTTTATCAAATGAAGAAGCGCTTCGATACAAAAATACATAAAAAAAATAGAAAAATACATAAAAAAAGTAAATATTGAAATATTTACTTATGCATTTTAAAATGGACACAAGCATATATAGTAAAACCTCTGTATTTTTAATATGTTGGAGTACAAATAAATTTAGAATAGGATTATTAAAAGTATAAGCTCAACTTAAATAAATATGTAGATATAAGAAAATTTTAGAAATATGAAGAGCTTCTCGATAATTAAAAATTTTGACACATCTTATTATTCATTATCTTTTGTTTTACTTAATATCTATTAATTTTAATCTTTCTTTTTTTTGACGGCGATTTAATAATAAAAAATTAAAATAATTCCATCATAAAAATATCAATTATATTCAATTGTTTATGTACATTATCGAAAAACAATATTTATTGAATTTTCATTTAGGAATATACTTGTACTACTGTGGATTCATGCCCTTCCAATTTATCTGGCGAAGAGATTTATAAGATGCTCATGCTAAACTTCAAAAGACATTATCTTACCAATCGAGCACCTTTCGGTTTACACTTTCATGCATCATGGTTTCAAAATCCATCATATTTTTATGCATTTAATGTAAGTAGAATTTAAAAAAAAGTTATCTTTATAATAATTATTGAATAAAATCAATATGTATATCTAATTGATTGTCATGTTTTTCTTTTTAATTAATTTGTTCATTTTAGAAAAATATTTGTATCTATATTCTATCTATTTTTATGTCTTATTTTTAATTAAAAATCACAACTGTTAAAATAAAAAATTACGGACTAAAAAATAATTTAGTATGTTTAATATTTTTATAACTGTCATGTAAACATTGTATAATTTTTTTAATTTTTATCTGCCATAATTTTATATTTTTTTATTATTTTTATTTAATTAATCAGTAATATTTTCTTGTATAATTAGAAATTCATCGATGATGTACTTCGACTGGATGATGTATTCTTTGTCACGAGTCATCAGATTGTGGAATGGATGCGCAAGCCAACATCTCTGAATGAAATCGAAAAATTCGCACCATGGCAATGTACAAAACGGCATTTTGAACCAGTTGAAGTCGCTTGTGATTTGCCAAACAGTTGTAAATTACACAGTAAAGTGCTCAAGTCGTACAGGTATTTGCACACATGTTTTGAATGTCCACAACAATATCCATGGTTAAGAAATGAATTTGGAATTGAGTGAAAATGTGGTAAAAGCAATATAAGACTTATTCTCTTATATTTCTTGTTCATCAAAAGTTTACGTGTAGTATCTTATTTAGAGATAATTATTGCATTATTTATTGTAAACATATAGGTATAAAACTATATCTTTTTTTAAGAAAATTACATTTATTTCTTAGATACATATGTAAGCTTTTTCAATTTTCAATACGATGTAAAATAAATTATATTTTCTTCATCATTAGAAAAATGGAAATGTTCAAGATGCTAAGATAACTTTCTTTCTCTCCAAGATGTAATATCATATATTGATAGTACAATGACATCTCTCCTGTTTATCCTTCCTGTTGTATGAATGGATTCTGAATAGATTCCATACCATCTACAGGACAAATAAGCACTACAGATGTTCCTCTACATACTACCAATCCCAACATGCGAGTATCCTGATTTAATTTATATGGATCATCTGGATCTATATAATTAAGGGAATTATGTTTACGTTATGGAAAATACTCAAGACTGAGATATAACGATATAAGATAAAAAGATATGAGTTATAATTTACGAATGTACTTATAAGTTTATTGTATTATAAGTCATATACCTCTGAGATATTCCTTTGTATTGTCGAGTACTAGATTAAGTAAGGGATCGTAACCCTTCAGTATACCTTCAGCTTCTCTTCCTCCGGCAAACTTTACCCTTATGTTTTTTTCGAGGTACTTAGATAGATCGAGAATACTTTCTTTCCTCTTCTTCTCTTTGTGCTCGACATTTTGTTGCTATAAAAAATGCAAATGATCCGCTCAGATTCATGATCAGTTCAGTTATTATACATGTGATGCATTACCTGTTTTGGTGCCTACAAGAAGAATGGTGAGGTTAGCTTGATAGTAAACATTAACCTAGATTATAGAGAAATGAAAAGTGGTATTTTCATATACTTACAGACATCCTCACGAAAAAAAGGATTTAATAGTAAATATAGTAATAGTAAATGGTACAGTTTTTTGTTTATAAGTCAACAAAAACACATCGTATTAATTTCAAGCAGACTAGCGCGTAGATTACTCCAACAATTATTTTGTCCGGTATGATCGAATCATTCGGCGAGTCATCAAGTATCGATTTCTCTCGCATTTTTAAAATCGATAATTTTGAATCGATTATTTTTACTTCATATTAACGTAGAGAAATTATAATTTCACATTTATTTGTATTCAATAATCGTTGTAATATTGAACATTTTTGCAAAATGTATTACAAGTTGTAAATTATTAAATCTTCTGTTATCTCTTTATATAATGTTCGTGTATGTTGTCTTTTTAAACAACTCAATAATGGATAAATTTCTTGGAAAGAGTGAAAGGAATAAGAATCAATTAATTTAAAATGAAACATTTTTATTTCTACAAAGCATTAGAAATAATGACAAACGAAATTAAAAGTAAAAAGCCTTTTAGACTTTTTATGAAAGACTTTTTATTGCCAAGTTGTTGTGCCGTTTTATATAAATTCGAAAGATGTATAGTAAAATGAATAGAAAAAAAGAACACATCAAGTAAAAGCTTGATTTTATTTATCTGGCTTTATAAAAAAATACATGTTAATGGCATGATGTGTATGTGAACAATGTATGTAATACGATTGAAGTATATGTATATATATATATATATATATATATATATATATATATACATACATATATGACTCTGCTTTTACATCTTAGAATTAAAATCTATTATATTATATTGAGAATATTTTTCAACAACTTCTATATACGATTATTAGTGTCTTGCACGTTTACGGAATCTTTTCCTTAGGGAATAAGTATAGTTTACAGAGCGCATATATGTCAGATGTTTTTTATCATGTTTCTCTCTTGAAATGAAATAAGGCGTGTAATGATATCTTAACAAAAGCCGAGCAGAGAGAAACAGAAAGTGACATAACTAACTTTTTTTATAACTCTCACTGCAAGCAAATAAGCATACAAATTAATATACATACTCAAATATACAGTAAATAATATATAAATAAATATAATTGAACAACAAAATGCCATATTTACAAAACTATATATGTATAGTTCAAATTTTTCGATTAAAATTCTTGGAAATATTTATCTGTATATTGTACGAATATATTTATATTTATGCGCGCGAATATATAAATATGTAAATAATATTCGGTGATAAATATCAAATCGCGAAAAACAAAGTCATAAGATGTTAAGAATTCAGAATATCCAGTCATTATGATTGTGCGCATAATACATAGAGCTGTATATGTATTAAATGTGAAAATAAGTTCAATTATTTGTGAATGTGGCGTAAACTATACTTTAGTCCAATATCTTTTTCTTACTGCTATTAGGGCTCGCATGTGATATTTGTTATCCTGATATTACTTCTCGTATGTATCTTCGAAATTAAATATTTTTATGTGTATATATATATATATATATATATATATATATATATATGTATATATACATATACACGTTATAAAACGTGCCTTTGTAGCCTCTGTAACGGAGCTTGTTACTTGTTGACGGAATCTGTATTGTACATTGGCCCGTGTGTCCCATATGTTCAATCGTCATGTCGTTTACAATATTTCTACGCTATTATGCGATATTGTCCGAACTTTTTCTCTTCTGATCCGATTTATTTGGATGGATAATTTACGTATTATTATATTGATAAAACTTATAAGTATGATAATAAAAAGTCTCCTTATATTAATCAGACGGTTGCCGAAACTTTCGTAATCTATTTCATTCACGAATAAATTTCGATGTATCGAAATGCGTTAATCTTACAGATTAAGATTAAAATTGTTATTCATTTAGCTTGTATAATTTCGTAAGTAGAACGTGAGGCGTTCTCTTTTGTATTGTTCTGACATAAATCAGCTTGTGTTGTTACGTTAATTTACATGTCATGAACTAATACAATCGCGGAAAAATCAATCTTTTATCCTTCTGTTCTGATATAATTGGACATGTAACAATATTATCGGTTCGCGTTGCATAGAAAATGTAATATCGCTCGTAATATTATCGCGAATTCGAGGTATTTATAGAAAGGAAAGCTGGAGACCTCAAAGTTAAAAGGAGTCTTAAGACTCGTTTCTTTTACATTCTTCAGAAGAGCAAATAGCATTTTTATTTGTCGCAGTATTCTATTTATATGTCTAAGATTATAAATGATCTTAATTCCAGAATCTCGAATTCTAAAACTGCGCTTGCGAATAAGGCCTTAACTCATTTTGCCAAAAACGGCTCTAAAATACTTGCAAATTTCTTGAGGATTTTGGTTTGAAAAAGTAGGCGGCACATTAGTGACAGTACTGTAGATCTTATCTATTCTAGAATTGCCGAGCTATTTTTTTATTCTGCATTTTTCCCTAATATCTATTCTTTTCTAATGACACACATACGCAGAACAAAAACATCATTGTGCACATTGTCTTTCGCTTCCTCACTCTATGTATGATTACATGGTGCGACACACAATACAGCATAAAAAGGGAATTCTAGTTTACAGTTCTGTTTCAAAATAAAGAGGAATCTAGAATAAAGGAGATCTACAGTATCTTATCGTATCTCATAATAGGCGTCATGTATGTTTTATCACATAAGTTAGACACATTTGAGGATGTGATTTGAAATGTATATATTATTTTGATATTTTCGTGCATCATGACTTACAAATATGCCAATATTTTTTACTTCGGAATATTTAATATATATAAAAATATTTAATATATATAAAAATAAAATACACAAGAAAAAATAAATAATCTCAATTATACGATATTAAATTGACAAGACAAATATATTCAAGATTTCAAGATTTTTAATTAAAGATTTTTAAGCAACAGTCATTATGCGCGTCTAATTGTAAATATATATCTGGAATGTGCGTAACTTTATGACAAAAGTATACATGACGAGCTTTAATACAGGAGCCATAATAAAAAATATTTAGATTATGTGTGTATGTGTATATGTGTGTGTGTGTGTGAATATCGACAACTCTCGCGTTAGATCCTCGCAATGTCGGTCGTTGAGTAACATGAACAATTTAGACCACGTGTCATGTTGCCTGTTGATCCTCTTCTTGTTCAGTGAGCAGAGGAACACCCGACGAAGACTGATCTGCATTATTGTGCTCGTTCTCATCTTGCTCATAAAGCAGCGGCACCGCTTGCTGATTATTGTTGTCGGTCTCTGAAGGCCTCCTACTCTGCCCCGGCAAGAAGGACATCGGTATCGTTCCCGAGGGTGTCGTTGGCGCGGAGCGTGACAACCACCGTTTGGTTTTACTCCGCGAACTCGGCAATCCCAACGGCATGTACAGCTTGCCACGAGTCCTCCTTACTTTGTACGAGCCGACATCGCTGGGACTTAAAGGCCGTTGTTGCGTAGTACCATCGCTGTTTGTTACGTATAAGATCGGAGTCTGGCAATTTTGCTGGCAATGCACGGCGGTAGCATGTCCGTTGGACAAATGAGGAAGTTGCTGTATCTTGTCCAACAATTCTCGCAACTGGAAAATGGTAATACAAAGAACAATGTTGTGAGAATATATAAAGATGTTCCTATTACGTGAGAACATTTCTTTCTTCTTCAAACTTAATCGTGTTTTAAGTCTGTAAAGTATCTCTTTTACAAAAAAAAAATTGATAATTAACATTAGAATATCCTTTGTGTAAGAATATGAGAAAAATATTATAAATATTTTTTATTCTATAAAAACACCATTCAATATAATTATCAAAAATATCCTTGTGATTAATTTTAATTAGACAATTTGTGATAATTTCACGTATATTTAGTATCCTTTAAATTAATAAGTTCCTAAATTAATTTCCGAATTAATTTGTTGCAAGAACGTACTTCTATTGTCGGGCTGGTAGCCCTCGGGGGAGAACAAGGCGATTGAGCAGCTAGGCTTGATATGTCAGAAGTTGTTCTGTGATTTGTCAGCGAGACAACCGAACCAACATCACCGGTCTCTCTTCTCTCGCATTCCACCGCTGATAATTCGTCGACGCTATTGTTGCAGGAGTACGGCGGTGGAATAATGGTATTCGCTTCATTCACCATGTTACACATAAAACTGGAACTCAACGAGTCCAACGTGCTTGCATGAGACAGCGATCTGAAGTATCGCATCACAAAACCGGAAGTTCCTTTGCCCAAGGTGTCGTCATAACCGATCACCAATGGATAAAGGTCTGGTTTCGCGGTCACCTAGACGATATAAAGTTATTAAGAATGAGAGAGAGGAAAACTTAAAATTTATTTCAGAATTTTTATTATTATTTAATATAATAATTATTTAATATAATAATCTATATTTATAATAAATCTATATTTATAATAATAAAGCAAGATAATACAAAAAAACATATTTATTTTTATATAAATAGAAAAAAATTTCATTGTGCAATTTATAGAGAGAAAGTAAGTGAAAAGCAGAAAATATGTGTGTACTCTAAATTGAAATTTTTGCAGTTACCTCATTGTATGGCGGTGGCAATGCCTGAACAAAAGAACTACATCGGCTGTAATGAGGGGGTGGATACCACGGTCCTGTGGAGGTTCTTTCCGAAGATACGGAATCTTCCGACAATGCTGCACGACGGCGCTTCCATAGCCAAAAGCCGCATATTGCGGCTATGGCCAAGGCTGCGAGCACTGCTACCCTGGAAATAAAATACAATACTTCATTATTATATTCCATTTATATAGTAACAAACATCATGAAGAATCGTTTAGTACGAAATCGGATCATGTTCATCAAACAGTATGTAAATTATTGTAAGGACCCAGACAGCACAAAAAGGTCAAAAGATGTCTTAAAGATGTCTAAAAGACTTTAAGACATCTTTAAGTCGTCTTTTAGATGTCTTTTCGACATGTGTGCTGTCTGGGGACTGTCAAAAAACGATACGGCAGAAGTGATCGTTTAATTATAAAAATAAGCGACAAGTAAAAAGGACAAAAAATTATTTCCTTTTCACTTATACACGTCGCCATTTAACGAGTAGACTAAAGATATACCAACCATAAGTACCAATAAGTCCAAATCAAGAAATTGAACATCTCTGAAACATGAGGATGTACCGGTGTGAAGACATTATAACAACAGCCATGCTGACAGCAATTTTTCGGAGGAGAGCAGCTGAAAAATAACAAATACATATTTTTTTTATCTACATTTTGTTCCGCATATTTCATCTCTTACACAAAATTCATTACTCTTACTATTTAATTGTACAATAGGGAACTTGTGTAATAAGGAATTATGTTATAAGGAACTTACACGTGTCCTCCATCGCACAGTTTAGAAGACACCTTAAAAGATAAAACAAAGATTAAAATATAATATATTGTATAATTATATATTATATTATAATATTTTTTTATAAGAAACAAATATTATTTATAATCATTATTATTTATAATATTTATATTTGTATTATTTACTTGATAAACTTAATTTGATTTATATATATATATATTTTTTTATTCCAAATTATAAAATTGAATGAAAATATATTTTAATAAATATATTAATGATAAACTCCATTTTTCATTTCAGATGAGAATAGTTTATCATAGTAAAATACTGTGCAAGTAAAAAACGATAAGATTTTCACGAATCGATGGAGATCGCAAAATGATCGACCGCTCGCGATGAATAGGTAATCCATTAAAGGTCAGAGATACACAATATATGAAGCATTTTAATTATATATATAAATCACAATTGTCTTCTAAAGATACCTAGAATCATTAAACAATCTTTATTAATTTTGACTTAAAAAGATCGCTCTCATCCTTGAATGATTGGCTGTTACGTTAATTAATTAAAACAAAATCGAATCAAATTAAAACAAAATTAAAGTCAGACAATATAAAAAATGTAGACTAAAAAATATCCTCATTTATCTTCGTAAAATCCTCCAATTTATCAATACAATTTTTCGCGGAAAAAAAAACTTGCTCCCGTACATTCGTGAAAATTATACACAGAGGGTACAGTTTGAGGGACGATTAATTTATTAATAAAATTTCATTGCAAGACGTTCCTCAACTATGTCGTTTTATCTGAAAAGGAGAGATATCTTATTTCACAGGAATGGAAAATGCGTCGGTTGCCGATGGATTAAAAGGAGCATGGAAAGACTTACGCATGAATGACAAGCCGCGACACACGGGCGTGTATTGATCGACAGCGCGAGGAGCCGAACAGGAGAGGAGACAGGGATTGCTACAGGACAGAGGGTGCGAGACACATGTGTTATCAATCCTTCTCTCTGTTTCTCTCGCGCTCGAGATTACGCGTTATCCTGGGGAATAGGAGAAGAAGACGTGGATGCGCCAGGATCGAGTGCATCGAATTCTTACTTGATCGACGAGCGACAATAGCAGCGTCAACGTCAGCGTGGCCGTCACGAGCGATGCACCGAATACGCGGCTCCTCGCGGCAATTTGCACCATAATTCTTCCACGGGACCGTCGTGTGCACGTCGCGTGCACGTCGTTTATAGCAGCGGCTACGCGTGCACCACCTCCCGTGCGTGTACGACACGCACGCACGTCCAGCACTCGACGGCACTCGCCGCGTGCTCAGGAACCCCTGCCTTCTGCATCCATGCGCATCGCGTGGCAAAGCGGTTGCCGTCAGTCCGGCGCAGACGCGTGACGTAATCGCTTTGTTACACAACGTACGTGTGCGTGTGTGTACACATATGTGGAATGTGGAGCCAGTGATTTTCCAACCATCTCCAACACTTTCCCAAGATTGTTACGTTCCGATGACAATCAGTTTTTTTCATTTTATTTTTATATTTTTATGACAATATCCACATACAAGAATGTTCACTTAGAAACCAGAAGTATTTAAACATCCCAATAAGGACAAAATGTCAAATGACACGTGTGAAGACAAGCTGGTAGCAGAAATCGCAGAATTGCGAGCATTATTGCACGCGAAAGAGGTTAAACTGGCACGCTTGCGACGCGAGAAACAAGTCATACAGGAGTATGGCTTGAGTAATGATGAAATTTGCAGATACAGTCGACAATTATTTTTGACAGAAATTGGTGTACATGGTATGTTCCAAGATTTTTCCTTGTAGCGTGCATAAAGAGAAATTTCAATCCAAGTTTCTTTATACATTACATTATAATATAAAATCTTGCAATGCATACATAAGAATTATTATATATTAAAAAGTTGATATGCAATATCTTTTATTATGATTTTCAGGTCAGAAAAAGATAAAAAACAGTTCTGTACTCATTGTGGGAGCTGGTGGGCTCGGTTGTCCAGCAGCATTGTATTTAGCATGTGCAGGCATTGGCCACATTGGCATAGTTGACTATGATATAGTTGAGATAAATAATCTTCATAGACAATTATTGTATACAGAAGGAAACATTGGGACTGCCAAAGTAACTGCAGCAGCAGAAAACATTAATCGGTATGATAATACTACATACTAAATTAAAATTATGTACTGAAATTATTATATTATTCAAGATTAATTTTGAATAATAGAAACCCTAATAGAATTTTACAAATCTTGTTATCAAGATTTAAATTAAAAACTAAGAAACTAAAAAAAAAGAAAGAAGTAATCAATAGTGTTTAAAATTAGTTTATGTGTATCTTTGATATCATTATACAAAAAATATGTAAAATACTAAGTGTATCTTTTTTTAAACTGTGAATTTTTTTATGCAATTTGTAATCGATTCTTTTATTATAAAATTATTAAAACATTTAATAAAAATTGAAAATTATGAATTTTTTAAAATAAAAATATATTAGAAGAATAAATTTTTAAGAAATATTAAACAATATTTTAAATTGATTTCCAATTGACTTCAAAGATTTTCAAAATAGAACTTTAAAGTTTAGTTGTAAAAATATATAATATTAAAATTATAAAGTTACACATATAGATAAATTATATTTTCTCTAAAGCAAAATTAACTTAAAAATCTGTAGCTTATAAAAATATACTTATGAATAAATAAAATCTAATTTTTTTGATCATTTACACAATAATTAAATTTTCATTACTTTATTGTTAGCTATTTAATTATTGTATTTGTATGTAAAAATATGAATAAGTGTCTTATACAGTAATTTATTCTAATGTTTTTGATAGCAAATAAATTTATATCTTTATTATTTTATTTTTTCTTTCCAGATTAAATAATTATGTAAAAGTCACTCCACATAAAATTCAACTGACTAGTAAAAATGCTTTAAATGTCATAAAGAATTATGATATTGTAATAGATGGTTCAGATAATGTAGCAACTCGCTATTTATTGAATGATGCATGCGTGTTGAGTAGGAAACCATTAGTTTCTGGCGCAGCATTAAGATTTGAAGGTCACTTGTCAGTATATAATTATAACAATGGCCCTTGCTATAGATGTGTATTTCCTGAACCACCATCACCGGAAACTGTAACAAACTGTGGAGATGGAGGTGTCCTTGGTGCAGGTTAGAAGCTCTTATAATGGCAATTTTTTTATATATTTTATAATTTAGATTTTGATCTTTTCTTTTTTTCCTTTTGTATTTTTTATTCTATATATTTATCTATATATTTTATATATGATAATAGCTGTGGGAGTAATTGGTGTATTGCAAGCTTTAGAAACATTAAAAATAATACTCAATATGCCTGATATAATTTCTGGACGACTTTTGTTATTTGATGGTATGGAAACAAAATTCCATAATGTACGTTTGCGTTCAAAGAATGCGGATTGCGTAATTTGCGGACAACATCCTACTATACATGAATTAATAGACTACGAAGAATTTTGCAGTGCAAAAGCAAATGACAAAGAGCCTAATTTAAATTTATTGAAAAGAGAAGAAAGAATATCGGTTGAAGAATATAACGAGATCATAAAAGTCGATTCAAAATCTCGTATACTGATCGATGTACGTTCACCTGAAGAATATGAAATTTGTCATATACAAAATTCCATTAACATTCCTTTTACGCAACTTAGCAAGGATCAAAACTTAAATCTAATAAGAAATAACATAGAAAAAATTCAAGAAAAACATCAAAAAGATCAAGAACACTCAATAAATAGTAAGATATGTTAATATTTATATTGTAAAAAAATCTTTTAATTATATTTATTATAATTGAGAAGTAACTTTATATTTATTCTTTCAGTGTATATTTTGTGTAGACGCGGTAATGATTCACAAAAGGCTGTGCAATACCTGAGAAAGTTATTTACTGATGATACTTTACGAATAAGAGACATAATTGGAGGTATTCATGCTTGGAGCAACAAAGTTAACCCAAAGTTTCCTAAGTATTAAGTTTGTAAAAAAAAAGGATGAAATAGATAATATTTTGTAAGATATATTTTTTAATAAGATATATTTTTTTTATTCAATAATATATCTTGATTGAGATAATGCAAATAATTATTATAAATAATAATTATATTACATTTGTACCCATATTTTTAGTTATTATACATGTTATACATATGGAAATGTACATTTTATTTACATATTCGAATATGTTTCTATTTCTCCAGTGGTTAAACTAGTTTCTGGATGTTTATAGTGAGAATCTGGTAAGCTCCTTAATTTTTCTGCTGCTTGTTCCGGCGTTAAATCTCTTTGTGCTTGAGCTAAGAGTTCATAGCCGACCATATGTTTTTTTATTGTAGCAGATCGCAATAGAGGTGGTAGATATATTCCATGAAAGGTCCAATACGGATAATCGTCATTGAGATATGGACCCGTTGGAGCGCCTTTAATTGCAAGTCGATAAGTCAACGATATATAAATAATAAATATAATACATAATAACAATTAATTTTTACCGTGCCATCCCATTGAATATGGGAAAGAGCATTGGAAGAGATTATCATATTTAGTACATAATCTTTTCATGATGACAGATAGAGATTCTTGTTGACTGTCTGATAAATCTTGCATTCTAGTAACTTGCTTTTTTGGTAGTACCATAGTTTCATATGGCCAAACTGCCCAAAACGGTACTACAACTATCCAATCACGATTCTCGATTACAATGCGATCCTACAAATAATAATATAATCCAAATAATATAAATAAGTATATAAAATAATGCTGAATACATAAAATGTTGATATTGAATTTTTTATACCATTTTATGAAATATATACGTTATTTATAAAAAAATCTAAAACCTTTTTTAGAACTTCCTTCTGCATGTAGTCAATGAGAAGAGGCTTCTTGTTACGTTCGTAATAATCGTTAAGATATTTGTCTTTTATTCTAGCTTCATTCGGTAGAAAGGAACTGGCCCATATCTGACAATGAGGATGTGCATTGCTGCAGCCCATCAGAGCACCTCTATTTTCAAATACCTGAACCCAAGTCCATTTATCGCCCAATTCGAGCATTTCAACAATCCACCTATTACATTTTAGTACTTATTTTTCGAAAGTCACGAATATTCTGATGCATATCTGCTAAATATTACTCACACCGTTTAACCACTTCTTTAATTTCATGAATCTTCATCAAAGCTATTGTTACATTTGATTTTGGATGAAAGCACATCACTTTACAAGTACCTTTGGCAGATGCCATTTGGAACAATTCATCCTCCAGTTTTGGTGGGTCTGGTACTGATTCTAGTAAAGCAGGAAAATCGTTCACAAACGAAAATGTGTTTTGATACATTGGAGTTATCTACAAGATAGAAAATTATTTATTAATAATAGAATGATGAAACAGCAAACTTTTTTTACAATTGTCTGAATCTCAAATATCTTGAGAAAGCTATTACTTTATACTGAACAAATTAATTAAAAAACAAAGGATTTTGTTAAGAAATTGTCTGATCTTTCTATTGTTATATTGGATTTTTAAATTTTATCATATTTCATTCTATGACATAAAGATTTCCTGAAAATGAATGAGTAAGTTAATATAAATAGAAATATAAATAACAGCATGATCTCTTGAAATATGAATGTAGTGAAATATTCTATCAAAATTAGAGTCAATAAAGAATTCTGATATTTCAGTTACAGAAATCATATAAAGGAAAAAATACATCATTTGTATATTTATATAAATAAAACATAAGCTAACTAACTTCTCCACTAGCTCTGACATTTCCTGGGCAAAGTGGATTTTTCGGATCATAATCTGGAAGATCTTCATCTGTACTGGGTTCTATCTGTCCTCCCCACGGTCGCTTCATACGATGCGGAGACACAAGTACCCATTCTCCTTTTAATGGATTATATCGTATATGCTGATGTTCTGCGAAGCAATTAAATCTTAATAAAACTTATTAAAAATTGAGAAATGCAACTATATATATAGTCTAACCAGTTGGATCAAATGATGTATCTTCTGGACATACGTTTTCTGTTCCATGTTTGGATTTGTCCTGTGACTCATCACCTATTACGAATTTAGATAATATATTTAATCAGAATATTAATAGTATTATCATATGGAATAAACTTACAAAAAAATATAATGAATTTACATATTAATTTCTATTAACAATTCTATTGCAAAATTATGTAATAGACAAATCTGTTTTGATCTGATTATGTAATTCCTTTTTTGTAATATTGTATATAATACTTTAGATTATATCAGAAATGATATAAAATATTTATAATATTTATAATTTTATCTAAAATTATAAATATAGAAATATATAGAAATTGGATTTTTATCAATATAAAATATATTTATTTCTTTGTATCAAATATATATAGAATAATTTGAATAAAATCTTTTCTAATGTATACTTTGCAGCTAAAAGAATGTTGAGAAATTGACAATATTAAACAATAATAATATAAAATTTACTATCATGCTTACCTTTGGCAGACATTTACGCACGAAAGTCTCTTCAATGACTAATTTAATGCGCCGCACAAATTCAGTAATTGATAAACGTATGTCAACCTTGTTTTTTCATCGTATTTATGTGAGTTGCATCTTCGTGCAGATAACGAGCATACGAGATTCAACCTTTCGCGTGGTTTCGCCACTTACGTCGCAAGCGATAAGAAATAATTTAAAAGATGTTTTCTTACATCATGATCCATAATACAAATGTTACACACATACAAATGTGATATAATAATGTTTTGAGCGAGGAAGCGATTATTGTTTATTATCGATACACTGTATATTTTCATGCATGAAACGGATGGATGATAATTAAAATAGTAGAATAATTATATATTAAAAGTTACATTTTGCATAATTATCTACTTAATTAATCGTATATAATAATTCAGTTGTAGCCAACGAAATATTTTTTATTATTTTTTAATAAAAATTCAATTACATCATATTTATTCATTATATATATCGTTACAATTGCACAATGTTATAATTGATAGAGATATTATTTCATGGATTAATTATGCAATAATATAAGATTATATCAGCATAACTGGCCACTGTTGGACCGGACCTAAACAAAGGCCGGTATTCATATTTCGATCTTATATTTGAGATCGTCTTAAGATGCAATTTCATTGACGCTAGAAACCAGCGGCAAATTAAAATCACTAGACTTTCTCTAGATTTGGCGTCAATAAAATAAAGTTCAAACAGTTTCAACTTTTTCAGTGTGTAAAGCTAAAAAGTAGCGTCAATGAAATTGCACCTAACAGTTGGCAGCCCTACGAGATAGGCTGTGCAGCATATAACTGCGCGTATATAAAATAAATTTGAAATCGCTTCTAGCTAACCATCTTCACGCGATCGACTTTATTTGAATTGCACGACACCGCATCGAATTATGATGCGGCGCCGATTTGTTCGAACGTAATTCGGGACATCGCGATGCTGTATAAGCGTCGAATGAGCACGAATTGTCACGCAAATATGATAAATCATCTACTCACCGTTCACCGGCTGTTCCACAGGCCGCTCCACTCGCTCGCCTCGAGACGTCCCATTCCGATCTTGATGCACACGATATCATCAACGCGAACGCGCGACACTTTATTCGGCACTCCCGATATTCGCTCGCATCCGATAATCATCATCAAGGGCGCAAATAATGCGACGCGACTTCGCTCCATCTTCGCGATGACGCCATCACTGAATGTCGTCAAAAATCGCTGTCGCGCGTTTCCATCGACACACTATAAAAGTCGCGCGATCATCCTTCGACACTTTCGATGCTCGTTCACTCGCGATATTCGTTTAAAAACGGTTAAAAGACACGAAAAATGCGGACGTACGACGATCCGTGTAACTGCGTATAACTCCAAGTCACGTATGACGCGTATGACGTAGCAGTCACGCGCCAACATGGCGGCCGAACCAGTGCGCACTGGTTCGGCCGCCATGTTGGCGCGTGACGTCACTGCGACGTCATACGCGAATCGGAGTCATACGCAGTTACACGGATCGTCGTACGTCCGCATTTTTCGCGTCTTTTAACCGTTTTTAAACAAATATCGCGAGTGAAAGAGCGTCGAAAGTATTCAAGGATGATCGCGCGACTTTCATAATATGTCGGTGAAAGTGCGCGACAGCTATTTTTCACAGTTCAGTGATAGCGCGATCACGAAGATGGAGCGAAGTCGCGTCGCGTTATTTGCGCCCTTGATGATGATTATCGGATGCGAGCGAATATCGGGAGTGCCGAATAAAGTGTCGCGCGTTCGCGTTGATGATATCGTGCGCATCAAGATCGGAATGGGACGTCCCGAGGCGAGCGAGTGGAGCGGCCTGTGGAACAGCCGGTGAACGGTGAGTAGATGATTTATCATATTTGCGTGACAATTCGTGCTCATTCGACGCTTATACAGCATCGCGATGTCCCGAATTACGTTCGAACAAATCGGCGCCGCATCATAATTCGATGCGATGCCGTGCAATTCAAATAAAGTCGATCGCGTGAAGATGGTTAGGCTAGAAGCGATTTCAAATTTATTTTATATACGCGCAGTGCTGCACAGCCTATCTCGTAGGGCTGCCAACTGTTAGTCAATGAAAAGGCCGCTTTACACACTGAAAAAGTTGAAACTGTTTGAACTTTATTTTATTGACGCCATATCTAGAGAAAGTCTAGTGATTTTAATTTGCCGCTGGTTTCTAGCGTCAATGAAATTGCACCTTTAAGTTCGAACTTGAAACGCTACGCAGTCATTTGATTGGTTGAATGAGGTCTTAAGTCAACCTCGGACCAGACTTAAGCAATCTTAAATATAAGCTCGGACTATGAATACCGGCCAAAGATTTTACCAGCAATATCAAAAAATGATTTTGGCTAGGTAATTTCTAAAATGAATGTAGATGGCGGTTAAACAAGATTGTTGCCAAAGAGAGATAGAAAGAGCGAAAAGAGAGAGAGAGAGAGAGATCGTTAGTACACAAAAATAATTTGTGGAAACGTAGAAGGAGAAAATATAATAATTTATATTTTTACAAAATAACCTATACAAAATGTAAGTGTCTTTTACATCTATTCTACAATTTACTTTAAATTCTAATTAATTTTTGGCACTATGGCCAAGAATATTATCGAATAATTATAACTTAACCTTAATTATTGTGCACATTGTATGAATGTAAACATGAATTTAGTGTCTATTCGTATATTTAATTTAAGTATATTGATGGAGAGCACTTTTTACATTTACTATTATCGATTAAGTAATATAATTCTATTTTATAGGTCTTCTTTGACCAAGCCAAAATCGGAAATGACGCCGGAGGAATTGGCAAAGAGGGAGGAGGAGGAATTTAACACCGGACCTCTCTCGGTCTTAACACAGTCCGTTAAGAACAATACTCAAGTATTAATAAATTGCAGAAATAATAAAAAATTATTGGGACGAGTAAAGGCATTTGACAGACATTGCAATATGGTTTTGGAAAATGTGAAGGAAATGTGGACGGAACTTCCACGTACAGGAAAAGGCAAAAAAAAGGTACGTCTAATGATTACAAATGCATTTGTAGAGAAATAGATTTCACAAAACTAATTTTACTATCGAGCAATTCAATAATAATATTTTAGAGAAATTTATATATTCAATAATTAGCAACATATTATATAATTACAATTTTATTTATTTAATATATTTTTAATAAATAAAATTATTAGCTTAATATATTTACTTGAATAATCAGTTTCTTTTTAATTATAAAAGGAATATAATGCAGTTAAATTGAAAAAATGTTGATAATTTTAACGATTAAAAATATTTAGGATTTTAATAAATTAAAGATAAAATGTTTACAACAAAATATTTAGTACAAAATAATATAATTAAATTCTTATTAATTTTTTTATAAAATTAAAAATTCTCAATTATATAGAGATGTAATTAATTCTTATTAGATATATAATGATTCATCAACATACCAAACATTAATATCGATATCTAGTAGTATCAATATAAAATATCATTTACATTATATTCTTAGAGTTATTAATGAAAAATAAACACACAGGCAAAACCGGTAAACAAAGACAGATTTATCCCAAAAATGTTTCTACGTGGAGATTCCGTCATCTTAGTTCTAAGAAATCCATTGGCAACTGCAGCAGGAAAGTAATACATTATAATACATTAAGGACAATTTTAACATTATGAATTAAAATTAAAATATTGTAATAAAGAAAATAAAATTTGATACAAACGCGATAGCCTGTTATTTATTAACGCGCATGACACATTTCTTTGCACAAATTCTCAATGTATTTTATTCATAACTTATTAAATATCAAGTAGAAAAAAAATAAAGTGATAAGCAGGATATGCTGTTTTATTTATTATGAATTATACACAAGATTATCAATCCTTTTCAGCAATTGCAGTTAAATGTTTATCAATTTCTTGCTCTGTCAGAACACTGTAACAAAAAGTTTATTAAAAACAACACAATAAGAATATATGAAATATTTAAATAAAAATTAAAATATATACGTATATAGTGTTAATTACCGGAATTTGGGATTATCCTTTGATACAACTCCTACTTCAATTTCAGTTGGCTTAAAATCTACAGATAAAACTGTAGATAAACAAGTAATTGCTAATTGTATAGTCTCATCGTAATCATAACTTTGTTTCTTCTTCAGTTTCTTCTCAAGATAAGAATTAGCTTCAGTTTGTTTCGCTCCTACAGAGATGGCTCTATAACCGCAAAAATAACCCGCCGGATCAGCTTTATAGATGCATGGGCCCTTTTCTTTGTCATATGCGATAAGCATCATGGAACATCCAAGAGGTCGCATCTCCGCATTCTGCGTGTATACTTGACTGATATCGGCGACACGTTGACACAAAGCATCCACTGGTATCTCATAACCATATTTGTATTTAAAATGAGCTGCTTCGTATCGAGCGCGTTGTACTTGGGACTTACTGTCAGCTGTAGGAAAATCAAAGGATGATGCATGGAGTTAAGATACATTCATAAGTCATCGAAACTCACCTATCATACCCGTCATGACACAACCGATATTCTCGGTCAGCTGGAATACATGGGTGACACTGAAGGCATCGAGTAACTTATCCTACACAAAGAGAGAGACACATTGAGAATATTATCGTAAACATGTCCTCTTAAATTTAGGTAATTGTCGCTAACGAAACTTCAAATTGATGAAGCAATTGATGAAGGATTTTCCCGAGGAGCAGAGGAAAATGTCAGAGAGATTCTAATGAAGTTTTAAGCAACGAAAAGAGTCTCTTGAAGGTTATCTTACAGGCACTTTCTTCTGTGTCGCGAATACGGCAGTTTCGACTCCTTTGACAGCCACGGACGTCAAGCCACCTTGATTAATGGCTTTGAAGGCATACTCTGCGAAAATTTCAGAGAAAGATACGTTTTTAAATACAGAAGATGTAGATCACGCCGAGTCATCAACTTATACAGAAACAAACACAGGTAAAACGAACGAGTCTTCCACGCGATATCGATAATAAATACGATAAAACGTCGTCTGGAGTGTCTCTTCGATTCTTACCTACTTGGTAAAGCCGTCCCTCCGGCGAAAAGATTGTTATGTGCCTGTCAAACCCAGCACTGCTACCACGCGCCATATTCGCTGCTGCGGGAATCGACGATTATTCCGAGCGCTACTTGACGCGAAAACGTCAAATCATGTAAGTGAACCAGGTCGGTTCGTTTTAGATGCACCTCTGCGTCTCGGATGGACTGCTACTGCGGGAAACTTTCGAAAACACCCTGGAAATTCTCTATCCAACAGCCAATCGATACATTCGACCATCTCGACGTACGACAAATGAAAGATCATCTTGAGTCAACGGAGTCTGACACGCCCCCTTCGGGAGACACATTGGTCAGTCTTTTGGAACTAACGTACGATTGGTCGGAGTGATAAGCGAACGATTATTGAGTTTGCCTCATAGGTCGATTTATCGTACACGATTAAATTCAAACAAGTTCAAAGAGGAGCAGATGCAGTTAGCTGTTAACCGTCGTCGAGATTTTACGAGACTCGAAGCGTTGTACGTTCTTGTTCGTATTTCTAAGCATTTGCGTTGATTTTATGATTGGGAAGATTTTGGTCCTTCTTTAAATTCACGTTAAAGAAGAAATAGACGCTGATAGTTGTTAACCATCATTGAGATTTGAGGATCAAAGCATCGTGTGTTTCTAGACATCGATTACGACGCTCCTTTTGATCGCAAGGATTTTAGTTCTTTATTTAGAAAACAAGAAATCGACTCGTATGAAAATAAGCAGACATGTTGCGCAAATATTAGGTAATTGTACGATAAGCGATAAGATAGCGATTATTTGAGTTACTACAATTGTGATTGCAAGGAGTGATTGTGTTATTGTGATCTACAAGGTTTGTTTTGTTTTTTTTCTTTTTCTAATTAGTTTAACGCTATTGCATTAAACATTAGACTTGTTCTTTTTAATTGAACTTTTTGTATTTCTCGTTAATTCTTACCTTCTCTCGAATTTCCATGTGTATATCTATCTCATTCATTTTATTCTAGTTCAGTTAAAAAGGAGAAATCTATTGTTTCATGTATATTTTGTCGTCTGTGCGTAAAATATGTATATATATATATATATATATATATATATATATATATATATATATATATAAATGCTTTATTTTTTCTTTCTGCTTTGTTTTGTCATTAAAGAATAAAGTATTGTAGTTTGATCGAATTTTTTTTTAATTATAGCTTTTAGTTTTTGCACGAAGTATATTGAATTTGATTATAATTTGATGTGAACTACAGATATGTCAATATATATGAGATAATATATTAGACAATGTGATTTTAGGAAAAATTTTTTACAATACAATATATGCATGTCTTATTTGATGTTTGAGCTATAAAATTACTTTATACATAAATACAGGTATATATATGGATTATGCTGAGAATGATCTCATCATATTTTTTTAATATCTAAATTGTTTTAATTATGTTTGATAGATGGAATCTCGTTTACCAAGACCAAAAGTGACATTAACAAAAGCAATTTCTACAATGGAGGTAAATATTAAAAGTATAAGTAACAAAATAGCTAAAGAGGAAAATAATATTCCGGCATCAGTATCGAATGCAAAATCAACAGCAACAAGTTCTTTTGCTTCAAAATCTACTTATCCTATAAAAGAGAATAAACCACCAACTCTAGTCCGTGCAAAAACTTTATCTACAATCACACGATCGAACAATGTAAAAACTGTGAAAAGAATGGGTACTACTATAACACATGGAGAGACAAAGAAACCATGTCTCAAACCTTCTGTTACAAAAGCAGTAACAAACAAACCAAATAGTAAACCATTGATAACTAATAGTACAGCAGGAAAAACGAATAAAGTAATACAGAATAATACCGACAAGTTAAAAAGATGGGACTTACGTGGTCGCTTAGCACAAACAAGTGATAAATTATCTGCTGCCCAACAAAAAAGTAAAGATATAGAGTCAAAATATAATGAGTTAAAAGAATTAGTGAATACTTTAGAAGCTAGTGAGGCTACATGCAGAACTAAAGCGGAAAAATTCGAGGAGTCGAACAATATTTTAACTAATGAAGTTCAAACTTTAACGACAGAAATATCTACATTGCAAAAACATCAAAAAGATTTAGAAACACGTTTAAAAAAGGAGGAAGAACTCTGTAAAAACATTACTTGTGTATTGAATGAATATAAAGAGAAATGTAAAACACAAGAGACACAGATTACAGAACAAGCAACACAATTGACAACTTTGAAAGCTGACTTGGAATTAAAAAAAGAGATAATTGAGAATCTGACTAACACCAAGGAACAGTTACAAATATTGACATATAAAATGGACAAAGAATGTAGATCATTACACAATAATATACAAGAATTAAAAGGCAATATCCGGGTATTTTGTAGAGTTCGTCCGAGAACTCCAAAAGAGACGGAACAAATGAAAGCGTAAGTAGATTTCTACAAATGTACTTTGCTTTGTAGTTATATATAATTCTAATTTGAGGATTTGAATAAAACTTGTTTCTTATTTGTAGATTGTGTAATATAAATTATATAGATGACTGCACTATTGAAATCAGTAAATCAGATGGATCAGATGCAATGAGCTGTAGTGGAAAGCAACGAGGAATAAAACAAGAATTTTCATTTGATAAAGTATTCAGTCATAAAGCGTCCCAAGAAGACATATTTGAAGAATTATCTCTTTTAGTACAGTCAGCTCTTGAAGGATATAATGTTTGTGTATTTGCTTATGGCCAGACTGGTTCTGGCAAGACATACACAATGGAAGGAGAAATGAGTAAATTGACCGAAGGCATGATACCTAGAACTGTAATTATATATTTTTACATATTTATGATATAGTAAATATTATTTGAAATTATTAGATCATATTTCAGTTTATACATACATATTTCCAATTGTTTCAAATATGGTTTCTCTTTAAAAAAGATTTAAAAATTTTATATATGTTTTTATAGATAAATGTAATTATCTAATTTATATTTTTTATAAATAATTTGTGTGTGTGCAACTAATAATTTTTCTATATGAATTAAACTATTTTTATATGATTTAAGGTACGTCATATATTTAAAGAAAGAAAACAATTTGAGCTTCTTGGTTGGGAATACCAAATAAAAGCCAGTTTCTTGGAAATATATAATGAACATATAATCGATCTCCTCGATTCGCAACCAAAGACACATGATATACGAATGGTGGATAGCAAAGGTCAGGATTTATATGTGACCAATTTGAAGATAGAAGAAATACATAGCCCAGAAGAATTGTACAAATCTCTAGAAACTGCACAACGCAATCGAGCTGTTGCAGCAACACAATCAAATGAGCGGTAAGTTTTGTTATATTTGTGCAATGTTTAATAATTCGCTATAGCAAAAAGTTACAAAAAAACAAAGCACAGCATTTTTTTCTCATTACATTTTCTCTAAATAATGATAATATATTAATAATATTGAAAAATGTAATGAGTTTGATTTGCCTTTTAGATCATCTAGGTCACATTCAGTAACGAGAATACAATTAATTGGTACACATAGTACAAAACAAGAAATATCTATAGGAAACTTGAATTTAGTGGACTTAGCAGGATCCGAACGTTTAAAGAGTGAAGAAGTTGTGAGAACTACAGAAACAAAAAATATTAATAAATCCTTAGCAAATCTTGGTAATGTTATTTTAGCTCTTTTAAAAAAACAGGAACATGTTCCATATAGGAATTCTAAATTGACACATTTACTCATGCCTTCTCTAGGAGGCAATTCTAAAACTTTAATGTTGCTCAATATATCACCACTAGACGAGTGTTATAATGAAACATTAAATTCACTGAGATTTGCTAGTAATGTCAATAATTGTAAAACTGGGAATATTAAACGTAGCCGAATGCTTTTGCAAAATACATCAAACTGAGTTTTAAAATGTTAGTTTTAATAAAAGAAAAAGAGTTTGTTTGCATAATTTTTCAATTTATAACTTTTATACAATTGACACTTTCTCTTATCATTATAATTATTATGGTTAATGTAAAATAATTTCAGAAAAAAATATATATGTGAAATTAATGGTAAAATGAGAATAAAAGCCATTTTTTACATTAATAATAAGTCTTTTAGTAAGTCTTTTGATAAGATCTCTTATATATTAATAATAGTATTAGAGTTAGAGTACTATATAATAATATAGTTTAATTTTTATAGCTATATGTATGTAGTTAAAAGTATAAGATTGATATCTCTCTCAATATTGTGTAATATTGATATTTTGTTTGAAACTCTAGAGTTCACAAAAATCTCTCTAATCTCTCATCAATCTTATATTTTATAATTATTTTATTCTTTACATTAGATAATGATCTATTGTTGAGTTAGATTGTATATTATTGTATCATTATTGAAATTCAAATTTAATGTCATATTGAATTATTGATTTTAAAAACAAGATTATTTGATAATGATTCTAACTCGTATTTTACTGATATCTAACATCATATAATAATCTATCTTACACATACTTGGTTTATATAATTTTTATATAATAATTATAATAAATAATGCTAGTATAGACTATAATAGATAAAAAAAGAGATTGTAATAAACTGTAACAATAGTTTATTCAAATTCAATTTCAATGTATAATTTATAAATAATTAGTTATATATAAATATCACTTAATTATAAAAATTTATTTAATTTTAAGTTTAGATATTTTTGCTGCTATCCCATATAGCAAAATTTTTATATTTCTTTTATACCATGATTTGTTATAATTGAAATGAGATTGCCAATTTTTATCTAGAAATTTCTTATAAAATACTGACATATCATCTGCAGTTATATTTGTCTTCCCTTGTGCTTTCAACAGTTCTTGAAATTGTTTACGTTCCTAAAATCTCATTTAATGATATTAAATTGATACATTATAAAAAAGAGCTGTAGGAATCACATACCTTAACGAAATTAGTATTATGTTTGAGCCAAAATTCTTGATTCCATTGTTGAGTTTCTTCTCTGAGATCTAAATATTTCTTTTCAAAGTAAGTTTCTTTCGCAGAGCGAGCAAATATAATAGGTCTTAGGTTTGAAACTGGATCAGGAGGACCAATTAAATCATGAGTTTGTTGATTACTTTTTAGTTTATCTGTTTCCTGACAAAGATATTCATGTAAATATGTAAAAAAAATATATAATATATAATATGCAGATTTCTCTACGAAACTTATTTTTTATAGCTAAAGTACGAGAATGGTAATTAAAATTGTCACTCGCGACTAATCGTTTTTATTAGAAATAAAGGCAATAATATAATCTATTATAACATTTATACATTAAATTTACATAAAATATTAAAAATTCATGAAGAGATTTATACACATATATATTATTGAAATATTTACCGTATTAAATAATCGAGAGAATTTCACCAAATATGTTAAGCGACAGTTGTAACATTGCGATGTAACGTTTAACATTTTTACAGGCTTTTTTTTCTTGGAAAAAAAGGTTATTTCTCTGGACATAGGTGGAGCCACTTTCAGTCACGTGATTAAAATTCAAATTTATGCACATGTGCGTATGTTCAAACATTCCAAAGAATACAATTAGTGTTGATCAACAAGATAAAGTAACTGAAAGTTTATTAAATTTTAGAAATCAAATATAACATTTATGTGATGGAAAAGAAAAAGATATTTTACACGGATAAAAATGATCAGAAGAATCATGGACAACATGGGAAACAGATATCTGTTGATATATAATTCTGTGAATATAAAAATGAATTTGTCATTAGAATAATATTTTCTTCGATTTAAAATGTTAAAAAGAATATGAAGGAATGAAAGAAAGAAATGCAAGAAAGGGAAATGAAGGATTTTAAATATAAAATAATTTTTACTAAAAAATTTCATACATCAAATATATTGAATTTTAAAAAAAGAACTCTTTAACATTATATAATCATACATAATAAACGTAATAATTAACATTTTGAAATATATATATGAAAATGCAATGTAATTATCAATTATTTTAAAAATTCTTTAAGACTTACTTAAATCATACATTTTTACATATCTTTAAGAAATGTGAAGAATATAAAGTACAGTACAGTATTAAAAATAAATATTCCAAATGAAACAACTTAAATATACTTGCAATAAGTTTTTAAATTTAATTTTGTTTAATCTAAAATAGCTTCAAAGATATTTCAAATTAATATTCTTTTTGCGATGAAAAATGCATAATTAATTCAATTCAACCAGAAAATATGCTGATTAAGTATTGCAAAGTATGTTAATAATGTATACAAAGTAAAATCATACAAAAAGTTTGAAATGAATTAAATCATGAAATTATTACTCAATAATTAACCACGTTTATATTTAGTGTTATAATATACATTCTCTTTATAAATACAATCTAATAAGGAGTTAAAGTTGCTTGCTTGATTCTTAATTGATTGGTATCTCAGTAATAGATCTAAGATAAGCTTGATTTAAGTTTTATCAAATAAATTCAACAGAATATAATATATTTAGTAACGTTCAATATGATCAAATGCTTCCAAAAATATAGGATACGTACTAAATCTGCCCTTAATTCATCTCTTGTGTAACATAATTGATTACATATTGATTACATATCAAGTTATTAGTTTTCTATTGTAAAAGAAATTGTTATACAACACAATAAGTTATTTAATCTACTATAAAAATTGATTCTTTCTTGTATATTAAGACTAGAGTTTTTTTATATTAGATAGAAACATTCCTTTAGAAGACTATGTCTAATATTTCATCGTACATTTAAACATTCTAACTCTATATATAGATGTTATTTTTCTAATATAAAAATTACATTTTTCATGCAAACATGAAAATTAGACAACTTTCTAAGTTCTAAACGCACGATGAAAATACAAATATCTATGTATGTAAATTGCCGTCACTTTTTTGTCACATTGTTAGGGCATTGTTTTTTTTAGAATAAAAAACGAATAATAATTAAATTTAAACAGTTTTCGCATATAAGTGTTCCTTTACAAATTATGCTATTTTAATATATTTGCAGATTTGTACAAAATTGGTTTATTTAATTCAAAGGTTTTAAATATGCTGCATCGAATGTATCGAGTTCGTTTATTAAAAAGTTGGCCTCATTTCGAAGGTGTTTTGCCTTGGATGCTGCTTTCTCTAATACTCCTAAAGTATTTGCTATTGTTTTAAGTTCAGTGTCCATTTCGGATGTTGCTTCGTCTACTAAATGACAGAGTCGCGCGAATGTGCTGGAGAGCTCCCTAAAATCATAATATAATATCATATTATAATATATAGTATCGTAATAATATACCACAAATTGTTCATAATTATTACAACTTACTGTTGCACTTGGTGACTGCAATTTGCAGAAGTGAGGTCCACAATCAATCGTAGCTTCTTTGTAGCATGCGCAACATATTGTCGTTTAAATTCGCGTTCTTTCGCGCTATTAGTCCACGTTAGACGTTCATAGAGATATAAAGCACCATATATTGCACCAGTTACTGCAATTAATCTCCAGCCTACTGTTTTTAACATCTAAGGGAAAGATTTGTATTTTTAAATTTATTTCTTATTTTTTGTGTATAAAAAGTCCAATTTTAGATAATATTATACATACAAAACCAGCAATAATAAGACCACCCATTGTACCCTGTGATGTTACGGATGCAATTGCTATACGACTAATTAAAGGCCAATCATCAGCTCTCGATGGAAAGTTCGGTGTAGTTGAGATAAATTTTAAGGAATCTGTACTCTCTGCAGGTGATGTAATACATGGTGGAATCTACAAGAAACAATTATTTTTATACTTTTTTTTATATGCAAAGTGAAAAAATATTATCAATTGCAACAATATACTAAATAGCTGTTATTAAATACATTTTCTTTGATTTACAAATTCTTGATCTAATTTGAGACAATTTTTCCTTAATCATATTGTCAACAAAGATGTCATTCTCTCATTACAATCTTCCAATTATATATATAAAACTTTGAATTCTATCAAAATCAAATCTATTTTCCATTTATTTCTCTGAAGATTAATATTTTCATTTTGTAACTATTTATAATTTACTTTTCTCGTAAATGAATAAATTATAAAAAATCGATAATTAAAAGAAAAGTATAATAAGAGATATTTTATATATTGTTTATTTTATATCCTACCTCTTGTGGGTAATTAGCAATAGCTAATTTGTGGCTCTGTTTCCCTGCAAATCTGTTAATTATTGCCGTAAAACCCCAGGAAAAACGAAATTCTAGGTCCTCGTGAAAGTCTGCGCATAAATTATCGCAATTTAATCGATACAGTATTTCGAATGGCTCTCGTCGTGGTAAAATGTTAAGCGACATTTGTCTTTTGTTTTCTGGCAATAAACTTGCCATTCTTTCGGTCATTTCTCGTTGCGAATTTTCCATATTCAATGCTAAAGCAGTGCTAAGTCTAGCTCGTAAATTTGAACCTAAAATATAACATTTTCATTGAGATCATTATCCTATTACATCCTTATAGATAATGAAATAAATATATAACTAAAAATTACCCAAGCCATTTTCTACATGTGCATGAAGTTCTCGTTTAAACACGTTCAAAACAAGTGGTTCGGGATGAAATGGAACACTAAATTCATCGACTAGAACAGCTAATCGTCGAATTTCTTCACTTAAAGCTTTAGAAACTCTTTGTTCTACATCTTCTACTATACGATGAATTTTATCTTTCATTTCTTGAGTTAACAACATCAATTGTTGTTCTGTGAAGTTCAACTTATCATGAACTTCTTTTTTAATATTCAATTGTTCAGTTCGCATTTCTTTTGTTCGATCTAATATCTCGTCTAATGCCTGACGTATTTCGCTGCAATAAACAATAAAAGCAATGAATTTACATTTTCAATGTATAAATGGTTGTAGTCTTATAAAAAAATTATGTAAAATAGTATTTTCTTACGTTGCGATATGTTTACCACGTTGAGAGTGCTGTTCAAATTTTGTCTTTACCGCAGACTTTGAAATACATTCTTCAAATTTTCTTTCAAAATCTTGAAACTCGAAATATCGATTTTGGAAACCATCTGCTAATGCCCCATCTATTGATTATATCGGAATTAGAAAAATTTTTAAACTTGAAAAAATATATAAATTATAAGGAATAACATTACTATGAGCAGGTTGACCACGTTGCTCTTGCATACGAGCTTGAAGAGTTTCTTTTGCAGAAATAAAAAAGACCCGTTCCTCAGCATCCTTTGGACTGTAAACTTTTAATTCCCTTGATAAAAAGTCAATAGCTCGGTTCTGATGTTGTGCTCTTACCTACGCATAAGGGATATATAAATATAAATGGATTTTTTAAAATATATATCATATAAATCATTGTACATAATTTAATTGTGATAAGCATATTATGTGACTGTACAGTTGTACAGTATGGTGCATTGCATTTGTATTTAGTGCAATAAAAGAATATCATAGTTATTACTGAAATTCAATGTATTTAATATATTGAATATAGAAAGATGTGTATTTTTCTCATTATTGTATATATATATATATATATATATATATATATATATATATATAAAGTTCTAAAGTTAAGAAAGTTTTGATTTTCATATAAACAAGAATAAAAAAAAGATAATTAATGTATAATTATAGAAAAAATAATATATTGCATATGGTTTTATAGATTGTTTAAACAGAATTTCTTTCATTTTTAGCATTATTTTTTAATATGATAGGGTCTTTGAGTTATTCAGAGTCGATTTTTCCATAATCAAGAGAAATCATCATTCATCACAATTTTTTAATCTTTAACTTTATATATCTTTGTATAATTATTTTAATTATTAAGATTTTCTTATTAAATCAGAATCTTATTAAACGTAATCTAAAATTAATTGAAGAATGCACTTTTGTTAACTTATTTCAATTCCTACAATTTAATTCATAAAAACGTTTTTTAAATCGTAATCCGAAAATTATCGGTGCTTCGACATTTTTAAGGAAAAATCAACTTGAATTTAATTAAAGAATGTATCATTAAAAAATAATATGCAAAATAAATAGAAATATATATCCTAAAATTATAGTATACATAAGCATCATTTTCGGATAAGCAACACTTCCTAAGAATTAACTTACCTCCTTTTGTTCTTTGACCAGCTAAAGAATAGAGAAAAATTCAAATTGTTGTTCAAATATCAGACTATATCAGATTATTTAATGTGTATGTCTTTTATATTTGAGTTATCATGTGTGTTTTATATATGTGTTTATATAAATTGTACATATATATTTTTAAAATTTACAGAGAAAATATTGTGTACATTATATATGTGTTTGTATAAATTATACATTTTTTAAATTTATATAGAAAAATTTGTGTACATATCTTTTGGTTTTTTATATTTCGTTTTAGTTTTTATGTTTCGGTTATAATTCGTCATTTAGTGATAATTAATTTTATAATAATTTTACTATTGAAATTATAAAATTGACTACCACTAAAAAATATATATCTTTGATAGCATTTACTATATTTTATATTTCTAACACATAATATTATTATATATTTTTCTTTATTCTCTTAATAAAAAATATCTAAATAATTAATAAAAAATATTTAAAAATTATTCTCTTAATTACAATGAAAAATACGTTATATTTAATATAGAACTTCTCATTTGTCAAATATAAATCAATAATAAAAATTGTATAATTTAAATATTTAATAAATATTAATAGCATATCTTTAAGAATTTTGTTGTATCAAAAAAGCATTAATAATTTATGCATTAAATATGTATATTATAATCATAGCTTTTTTATTTTCTATTAGTACTTTATAAATACATACCTGATCAAAAAATTCTGGTTCAGAAGCAGAGGCATCCCATCGATTATTTAGAATAAATATATTTGGTTTTGATAATCTTGTAGAAACTTTATGAAAGAAATTTTTTTCCTGAAAAAAGAATATATAATTAACTCTCTAAAATTTATTATACAGTATAGGTTCTGATTATTACATAACAATAAATTTATTTTATATAAAGCAGATATAAAAGAAGTATTTAATTATTCCTATTTAAAAAATTACAAATTTCTAAAAAAGACATTAAATAACTCTTATATATATATGGAAAAAATAATGATAATAATGTTGATAATTATTAAATAAATAAATAAATATATAAATAATATATAAACATACAATATATAAAATATATGTATATTTTAAATTCTCGTGATTTTTTCTAAAATAATTTTTTTTTGTGTATATAGACATCTTTTTTGTTTAACAGACACTGTAGCAAATATTGTTTATTACAGATAAACTTACCGTAACCATCAAAGTAGATTCAGCATTTGCTACTAGGATAAAAACATCAGCATCTAAACAATGCTTATCAATCCATTCATCAAGATTTGGAGTTACATCTACTCCTGGACTATCCACAAATACTACATCATCTCGCAACAATAAGCATTTTTCCTTTGGCCAAAATATTCTTACTAAATGGCTCTCGCATAATTTCTCTTTACAAAGAGCATGACCCAACTGTCCGACAGATTGAACTGGCTGTTTTTCAGTGGATCCTTCCGTAATAAGGTATGATTCTCCATTATCTGAACCTTCAACTTGCAGGAAACAGTTTGTAGTGTGTCCTATACCACTTGGTAAAATTTTATCGCGTAACATTGCATTAATAACTGTACTTTTCCCATTACTTGTTCTGCAACATACATATATATATATATTAATTAATATTCTCCATTTATATAGATAGTAGATTTTGACTTAGAAGGAGAAAGATTTGCTCAGAAAAGATTTGCTTTTTCATGAGAATAATATTTTATATTTTACATTTTATATAAACTAAACACAATGAGATCAATTACAATAAGATATTATTTAATATAATTTCTCACCTGCCAAAAAAAGCAACTTTCATGTGATCCCTTCTAAGAACATCTTTTATTCCACGCACTTTATCAATATAATTTTTGACCTTTGCTGCCTCTTCCGTTGTTACAATATTGCGGTCATTTTGTAATGCTGTATAAAATTATTACTAATTAGATGAATGGTCATATTATATGATATGAGACATGTTCCATTACATTTCTCAATTTTCAATTTACTTACATGTCATAAATTCTACAGTTTCTTCCACATATTTTTCTATATCCACAAATATATCATTTATCCTTTTTTTCGCCTTCACAAAAATCTGTAGAGGAGAATTATCAGTTCTAACATCTGATGATCGAAGTTGACTATCTCCAATCATGGATGATTGTACAATTGTACGATTGATATAAGCAGCCATTATTTCTTTATATTTCTATTATAACGTGATGTATTTGGCAAAAATAATAAAAAAGTACGGTTGTGCAGTTTGTGGATAGGCAGTACGTTGGTACACAGTGCACAGCATGCGGGATCAACTGAAATCATAAAAAGCAGGAGTTAAATATTTTCTAATGATCAGATTAAAGACAATATTTGATAAAATTAAAACATATAACAATAAAAATAATCATCAATAAATAATTGCAGGATATATCTCTTGCTGATTATATATATTTTTTATATAAAAATGGAATATAGTATATTATAGAATGTAATAAAAAAATATAATTAATTATAATATTTTCAGAGAAATATCCTTTGTACATATAGCATTTGATAAAACAGTGCAGAATTAATAAAATGTGATAATAAAATACCAAAAAATGATAATAAAATAAAATTAATAAGACAGGAATAAATAAAACAAAGCAATGACATAATATTGCAACAATATAATATTGCTTTAAAAAACATCAAATTTTACATATAATATGCATTTACCTAATATATATATATGTATCACAAACACTAACAATTTAAATTAAATATATGCATTTTTAAAATGTCTTCTTTATTTAATTCTTTTGCGATATAACGAGAAAACAAAGTTTTATACATATAAGGTGTATCATAATTATTATGATTTGTCATTTATAATTAGAAATTTATGATAAAATAAGCTAAAAGAAAGATCTTTTCTCTGTACATATTGAACATATTGAACATTTATACTAATTTAACATATCACATTAAAGCTAAATATCATTGTAGTTATTCCAATTTAACAATTTTTACAAATTACAATAACTTACATTCTGAGAGAAATTAAATTATATCAAATTAAATCAGTAAAAAAATTTGTTGATAGCATAATATTTTTATTGAAAAAACTTTCTATCAAAGAAAATGGGAGAAAAATTATGTATAAAGTAGTTTTCAATAGTTTTGAAACATCCTACATGTTTTTAACACTAGACAAACATATGCAACGAGCAATACATGTGTTTTATTAAATAAAAACAATGCAACCTTTTTATCTTTAGTCATTGATGAATCCGTAGAGTAAATCTATGATATAATTATTTGAATGTTGTCCTGTGTCCAAAATTGCTAAAACAATTCATTATACGTTTATTATTTAATGTAAAAATTTGTTACTATAAATTATATCTAATTCATTCACATTATTTTTTATTCAGAAATACAAAGTACTTTGGACACGGATCTTTTTTCTACTGTAAACTTTATTGGAGTTTCAATTTATATTATATATTTGAAATCTACAATACGAAAACATGTGACCGATAAATTGATGAGGTAATACAAGATTTATTTCCTTAAAAAAATATGCAAGAGTAAACGTGCATTTAATTAATGATTTTATATTCAATCATACATATTTATATCAAATTATCTGTTCTTTCAATACAAAAATCGCATAGTTTCAGTAATTGAATATTCGGACAAGATATTGCGTAGCAGACGAGCTAAAAATTGTTTTATACCATTTAACCTCTACTGAGATATCGAAAAATGTCCTCGCACAAAAAAAATATATATAAATTATATCAAGACTTTAATATATATTTAAGTGGCGTACTTGTCATACCGTAAAGACAGTTGTGCATAAAATGACGAACAGTAATTCATGATTACAGATAAAAATGTCTGTTTAATCGGTAGATATATTAGATTACAATTAAATACCTTCAATCCGTACATATATATAAAATGTGTGTATATATATATATATATATATATATATGTATATGTATATAGAAGAAAGTGGACTTGATACATGAATTGCTGATAAGCGCTGCCATCGCATCTTCAATTCAATTGGAGGATTCATACCGCGTCCAGTTTTTGACGTATGACTTCAGCAGCGGTCCTATCAAAGAGACGCTGAGGATGCTTTGAAGCGTTTGATAGACCAATCAGGTTAAAGAAATCTTTACTCCTTTTACTCTGATTGGTTAATCAAACATTTCAAAGCATCTCAGCATCTTCTTGACCGCAGCCTTCGATATCCAGTAGAAGAGTTTCTTTCTCCCTTTCTCCCTCTCTCTCTCTCTCTCTCTCTCTCTCTCTCTCTCTCTCTCTCTAACTCAAATATATATTTATCTTTAAATGCAGAAATTTTTAGGGGGTGCAAACAGTATGAACAGATGTATATATATCATTAAATATGTATATATATCACTAAAGTGATGAAATATAAAAAACTAAATTGCAAGCATAGGAAGAAAATGTCATCAGCCAATCAGTACGTCTGACAGAAAATCGTCGTGCGACAAATGCGATATCGCCTCGAGAAACAAAAACGTATGGAACGTTCGAAAACGTCAAGCGGAATGATATTCGTGATTTTGGTTTCTGACTCGTTTTAAGGCTTGCTCCTGTTTGCTTCCAGTACTTCAGGAGAAATATAATACGGTTGAAGCGTTCGAATTTGAATGAATAAAGCGCGAAAAATAAACGCGCGTATTCTTAAATCGCGAGACGATTATTGGAGTTTCGGAGAACATGCCAAGCATCAGAGTGATCGACGGTGACACGGGAATTGTTCATACGTTGGAAGTTTCTCAGGAAGATGCCGCAAAGGCTAATCAAGGCACGTATCTGATGAAGGCGCCCTGTAACTTACATAATCTTTATATGCACTGTTATGTGTAATCTTTTTTAAAAATTGAAAGAATTTTTCTGACTCTTATTTTTTTCAGATCCCTTATTCGCGACGCAACTTATGCACAATTATGAAGCGATAATTGTGCAGAGTCCTGATCAAGCTGTTGTTGAAACAGGTGATTGATGACTTATTATGAAAATTTTGAAGTATTTTTCTATAATACTAATTAATGTGTAATGTAAAATTAGTGCATTTGTTTCTATCCTAATTGTATAAGAATATATTCTAAATCGCATTTTTTTTCATTTATATATTGTTATGTTTATTGATAGAATCTTCTGGCAATGGTCCATTATCTCATACCACGGTACAAGAATTTTCTCAAGATTTTTCTCATGATTCTTCTCAAGAAAAGGGTATGTTTCTCAAGAAAAGAATATATTTTATTACTTATATTTTGTTTATTTTTTTCATTTCCTTCAGTTTTTTCTTTCAAAATAGAGATTATTTGTTTGGAAAATTTGAGGAGTCCAAAGAAAAATAAATGACATATGTTGTTTTGCAGATGGTTTTCGTTGGCCGCATGAAGCAATTATTTTGCTTCTCACAGTATATAAAGATCAGGAACACCAAATTGTATCTGGAACAATGACAATGAAAAAGTTTTGGGCTATAATTGCCAATCAATTAATCAAAAAAGGTTATAATGTCAATGCTTCTCAGTGCAAAAGTAAAATGGCAGGTTTAAAAAATACCTATAAAAGTGTGAAAGATCATAAAGGAAAGAGTAAATACAACAAATATCGAACATGGCGATATTATGATGTAAGTGTAGAGTGAATATTTTATATGAGATATAGTATAATTCTATTTCTTTCTTTTATTATTGAAATTAATATATCTTTTTACATTACAGATTATGGATGAAATATTCAAGAGAAGACCATGGGTGACTAAGGTCCTTACATCAGATAGTCCAACCTCATCTTCTGAATATATAGATAAAAAAAGAGGTTTATCTCCATGTAAAACTGAATTGCCTTCCAAGCGTAAGTATTTGAGCAAACTATCAATAAAATGTAGTTTAAATTTTTGTTTTATTTATAAAGCAATGGATACTATATATACACATATAATTATTATATTACAATTGCTATCATGTTACTATACATATAATACAATGTCAAAAAAAGAGTTGTCAACAATATTGAGAAATACTTCCTACATTATCCTATATTCTGTTTACTTATTATTTTCACTTATCAGTATTATATAATGAAATATATATCGAAATTATAGGCTTAAAACAGTTTGGTATGTTGGAGAATATAATTGCTGTCACAGAGGAAAATACTACTATACGAAGAAAGATGCATGAAGAAGCAATGGCTCGCCAGGATAAGTTACTCGATATTTTAGGAAAAATACCCAGTAATTCAACCTCATCACATGAAAACAATGCTGATAATGAAAGAAGTAATTCCTGTAAAATAGAATTACCTTCCAAATGTAAGTATCATAGTTAGCTTTTTATATGCAACACTATATAAATTTATTAAATCAATAGTTCTTGTTTTATTTATAAATATAATGTAATATAATGTTTTATTTATATATTACAATTTTTAATAATAGGAATAAAAATATTGCCTACATCACACTAATGCTATTATATACTTAATGTAATATATATTAATTACAGATTTGAAGCAATATGCTTTGTTAGAAAGGATAATTGCTGTTATGGAGGAAAGTACGACCGAAAGGAAAAGGATGCATGAAGAAGCAATGGCTCGTCAGGATAAATTACTTGACATCCTGGAAAAAATATTAAACAAATAGCAGCATGACACATATATGTATATATAGTCTAATTATTGAGCTATGCATAGAAAGTTTTGTGATATTTTGTACTAACTAAAGACAATAATTTTTATTATTATTTTTTATTTCTTCTTATGGATAGAGACAGAAAGCAGAAATCTTAATTATAATGTAATAGTTATATATATTTGACCAAATCAATCTTTTTTTTTTCTTTTTTTCCAAAGTATAAGATGAATATAATTTATATAAATATCAACTATATTTTATACATGAATAGCTTCATAATTTATTAAAATAATTTCTTTATAAATTCTTTTTTTTGCTTTTACATTTCTATTATATATATATATTCCATTTTTACTCTTCACAATTCTGCTTTTTCTGTCTAAGACAATGATATGATTTTGTAATATTGCAATTTAAGTAATAATATTGTATAGTATACAGCATGCTATAACATTTATAGAACTTATGAATCCATAGCAATAATTCCAAAGTAGAGATTGTAATTGCAATACTTGTTCATAAAAATCTGCAATTGGTAAATGTTACTGAAAGTTTACTTGTAATTATTATTTTCATTAATGGTGGTAATGAATTTCTCTTAAATTATTTATTATAATAAATTTTATTATAATAAATTATTTATTATAATAAATTTAAATATTGAAAGTAGCAATTGCAGTGAATGCTTAAAGAGCATTCAAACTTATTTTCATTGAATTCTATACATATATATATATATATATATATATATATATATATATATATATATATGTATAGAAAATGTGAAATAATATATTCTTGTCTCTCTTAATACAAGATACAAACTAATAAAAATATATTTTTCACATTTTATAAAGAGGAAGAGGAGAGATAGATATTAATAAGAACATATCATGAATAGACTAAACAATTTGTATGCTATAATTAATTTAATAGCGAAGATTTAAAAAAAATGAAACAAAATATAAATCAATCTTTCTCCTTCTCGTTCATTTCTGCTTTGCAATGACGTTCGTGAAACGATCAGCTGATTAGATATTCGGTTTTGGTTAGTTTTGCTTTTCTTCAAAAAAAGATGAAAAATTCTTATTCTCTCTCTTTTTCTCGTTGTGGTCTTTAGAATACATTATTCGCTTGGTCTAATCGTGTTATAATAGAACGTGAGATAAAAAAATTTGCTTATGAAATGATACGCTATTCTTCTCAGCTCGTCAGTATATCGTATATCCAGTATATCTTACAGATTGTAAAGTTATAAAGTTTAATGAGTAGATCGCATCGTTAACAAAATCATCATGAACGTTGGCAATAATACGCAACTAGAATGTATCGATTCTTCTAAAAGTAACGAGTATTGTGGGAAATGTATAAAGGAGCAGTCAAAAGAAGAATTACTGTCGTTTGTGATAAAATGCGCCAATTTTGCTGCGGAAAAACATCGGAATCAAAGAAGGAAGGATATCGCTCAAACCCCATATATAAATCACCCTTTAGGTTCAGTTCAAGATAAAAAATAATTTAATTTCAATAATATATGTGTCTCAAAAATCATATATTCTTTTGTTAGTTTACATCAAGTAGTAATAATAATATTAATAAATTCTGTTTCAATGATTTCTGTTTTGATTATTCATGGACAGTCAAAATAGGAGCAATTTTGAAATTTCTTATTTTGAAAGTTAAATAATAAGTTTTAAAAATGTAAATTGATAAAATCTGTTATTTTAATCTTTTGTTTTAAACTAATCTTAACTAAAGTGGAATAAATTGATATTGTTTTTATTAGAAATATATCTAATACGAAAGTTGTAAAGTTAAAAAACTGCCAGTCTTTATTTTAAATTATAATAAGAAAAATTATTTTAAATCGATTAAGAAATCTGTAATTTGAAAATGTTCTGATTCTTGTAGGACATATTGTATATTATTGTATTATATTATATTAATATTATATATAAATAAATATGTATAATTTATTTGTTTCTTTTTCTTTTTTTAGGAGTTGCAAACATTTTAATTCAAGAGGGCAATGTTTTTGAACCAGTAGTAATTCTAGCCGCAATCTTACATGATACAGTAGAAGATACAGATACTACATTTGCAGAAATTGAGAAAGAATTTGGGCATAAAGTTTGTCAGATAGTGCAAGAAGTAACTGATGATAAAACATTATCAAAAGCCGAACGTAAACGATTACAGATAGAACATGCTCCTAATATATCTCGCGAAGCAAAACTGGTAAAACTAGCCGATAAATTATACAATTTAAGGGATCTCGAAAAGAGTGTGCCTATTGGTTGGACAAATGAAAGAGTAAAAGAATATTTCGAGGTAAAATATTTTTAGTATTGATAAAAATAATAAAAGTTACAGAAAAGAATTGTAATAATATCTCAAAATGATTTGATTTACTTTAGTGGGCAAAAGCTGTCATAGATGGATGTCGTCAAACTAATCCTGCTTTAGAAAGAGAATTAGACATTCTGTTTGCACGTAATTGTGATACAATCTGAAGAGAACTTAAATTTTAGGAGTGTAGTTGATGAAATTGTAAGTATGATAGTATAAGAACTAAAATAACATCAAAATAATATCAAAAACTTTATAAAATAACATCAAATTATATTGCATATGAAACTTGTATATAAAAATGTATACATAATTTGTATATATTTTTAATGTAAATGTACAAATTTACACAAATAATATTTTCAAATAGATTTTTTTCTAAAAAACTATATTTTTAAGTCAAAATTTCAAAAAATGTATATTTTTATCATTTTCTTGAGATGTTTAGTTAATTATTTTCCAGATTATTTGTATGTTCATTATGAAACCATTTCATATAATCAGCCAATGCTTCTGCCTCTTCTTCTGTAATTGCATTATATAAAGATGCGCGTATTCCACCTACCGATCTGTAAATAGAAATCATAGTAACTTGAATATTAATTAGGAATAATCTATGAAAAAATTATTTTATTATAAAATTTTTAAAGATTATGTTATGATGAACGCGTGTAAACAAAATCATTTCTTGTCATAACTTTACTGTGGTTAAATTTATCCTTTTTGATAAATTTTTTACTGACCTGTGACCTTTTAGCTGCAACATACCGCGAGCTACGGCACCAAGAAGGAACTCTTTTTCGAGCTTTTCGTCACCGTCATTTATTCTGAATGGAACGTTCATCCTACTACGCGCGTTTCGCTTGATGGGACATACATAAAAACCTCCTGAATTGTCAATCACATCGTATATCTTGTTGCTCTTCTTCTTCGCAAAGTTCTGCATACCTTCGGGGCCACCATTCCGTTTGATCCATTCGAAAACCAATCCAACTACATATATCCTAGTCGTCAAATTAACAAGAATTGTAAGAACTTTTTTTACGAATCGAAGATAACATGAAAAATTATGTGTACCATATATTCAGAAAATTATTTTTTCGCCGAAGAAAATCCCCTATACTAAAATTATAGGCACTATTGATATTATTTCATGAAAAATAATGTAAAAAAGATCTTAAAAAAGATTCTTAATTTTTTAATATTTTCTTTTTATTATAATCTTTTATGTTAAGTTTTTAATTATATATATTATTTTCGTGCATATATTTTCTTTATCTAGTTACGAAATCGTGATATATGAAATTAATGACACTCACTGAAAGACGGGAGGAGTGTTGTGCAAAGAGTTGTCATTTGCCATGACGGTAAAATTCAATACTGTTGGACATACATCCATTGGATAACCGAGCATATCATCCCGCACGATTACTAAAGTAACACCAGCCGGGCCAATATTTTTTTGCGCTCCCGCAAAAATCACTGCAAACTTGGATACATCGAAAGGTTTTGACAGTATATTGGATGACATGTCAGCAACAAGTGGCACTCCATTTGTCTCCGGAATAAAATCGAATTCAATTCCATGCACAGTCTCGTTTTCGCAATAATAAACATATGAGGCATTTGGATCTAATTTCCAAGTAGAAGGATCCGGAATTTCTGTGTATTTTGATGTTTTGGGTAGCACCATATTCACTTTTCCAAACTTGGCTGCCTCTTTCGCCGCTTTCGCCGACCATGAACCTGAACGAAAAAAAAATTACTGTCATTATTTTATTTAAAAAATTTAGAAACTCTATTATATTTTTTTTATCTCTCTTACCAGTTACTATATAGTCTGCAGTTCCGGTTTTTAATATATTCAGAGGAATTGCCGCAAAAATTCCGGTGCCACCGCCTTGCATGAACAAAATATGATAATTTTCGGGAACATTCCTTTAGAAAAAAATAGAATTTATAAAAATCAGTAATACAAGACAAATATTAAACAAACCAAATATAATTCATATTGATCATCATTACATTTTTATTACAAAATAATGAACTTTAAAGGATAAAAGACAAATTACTCTATTTAAACATTTCCATTTAATTGAGAAAAAGTCGACGGTAACTGTTTAAAAATATTAACATTAAGATTGAAAGTTTTAGGAGTTTATTATATTTTATTATATAATTTGAATTGTTTATTTTGAGAACGATATAAAAATAGTCATCAGTTTTTAAATGTCTTTCAAAAATTAATTTATAATATATATACTTTTAAATAAATTTATATCACTTTCAATGATTTAGACTTACAGAATATCTCGTAATGTGGCCTGGGCACTGTTGATGACGTTGTTAAAGTCATTTGACCGATGACTTAATTCGAGAATGCTTATTTTCGTATCGCGGTAGCCAAGTAATTCCTTTTGCACATCTTTCAAAACCTGTAAGTAATAGTACAATCTCGATTAACTGACATCGCGAGAGCAATGAACGCAATTGACCCAGTCTTGCTCTCTTATCTCTCTCCTTGTCGTCTAGTATCAATAATATCAATAATTAATATAAAAATATAATTACAAAAAATACAAATTCAGATATTTACCTCAATTTTTTATTTTTATCATTCACGCTTATTAGCAAGCAAATAAAACTACTTAATTATATAATAATGACGCGCAAAGTGCATATCAACTGTTTATTTGTCGATGCGATGAAATTAAAAATCACGAGTTGCTCTTGTGCAAGCGAAAATTGTATCAATATTTTATGTTATTCGCTGTATTATTGCATATATATAATATACTATTGCATATATAAAATATCTAGAAAACATTTTTTTCTAAATCACTGTCGATGCACGTGATGCATACGCATTTGAATTATCATCGCATGGATTGCAAAACAGTTGAATATTTGATTAGCACGCGATAATAATCAAACATTTATGTACACAACTTGTACAAATAGAAAGATTCATTTTTAAACACAAATGTAAGAAGATTACGAAACAAATATAGGACAAATATACAACAAGTTATAAAGGGAATGTAAAGAGATAAAAAGGACATATATAGGAGAATATTGAAAATATAAAATTACATTAATATTTTAATTATGTTAGAATTTATACAAAAATTTCTATATATAGAATATTTGGAAATTATATGAATTTTTCTAATTTTAAAGTTATGTGAACTGAATGAATAATTTGTTCATTTTATGTCAGTTTTTTAATTTTTTTTAATTTCAGAAAGAACAAAATGTTATTAAAATTAGATAATTTTGTGCGCAGACATTCGAAAACTTTTAGCGGCGCAAATGTGGAAGTTATCTGCGAACAGTTATTACGTCGGTCCGGTATCTCGGAAAAACGTGTATTACAGGTGATAATTATATCTGAAATCTATCCACTTCGTTTTATGTCGCAACACACAATAATTATTAAATATTTTGTTACACATACACGTATCATTTTTATAAATAAATATATATGATTTTTATAAATAATCACATTATATATAATCACATAGAATAAAATAAAATAGATTGTATACAGGGGTGTATCTGAAATAATGCACTAAACTTTGGGTGCGTATTCTAGAGGCCAAAATAAGACTTTTTTTTCTTGAACATAGGTTCGGAAATGAACCCCCCTCCGAGCTAAAATTCGAAAAGGTGTGAAATTGACCAAACACTCGCAACGCAAATTTATTTATCTCTCAAGAGAGGGTGATAGGTAACGTTAAAACAAAGTCAAATAATAAGGCAATCCATAATACAGCCAATTTTCAATTTTTTCCCCAAACTTTAGGGGCCTTTAGCTCGGAGGGGGGGTTTATTTCCATGTTCATAGGGAAAGAAGTCTTATTTTGACCTCTAGAATACGTTCTTAAAATTTAATGCATCATTTCAAATACACCTTGTATATTTATAAATAAATATATACAATCACATAAAATATATAAAACTGTTCATATATAGTGTATATTGAAATAGATTATATTTGAAATAGATGAATCTTTCTTTTCCTATTTATATGATTATATATTTACAGTTATGTACCTCAAAATATACACACACACACACAGTTTATATATATATATATATATATATATATATATATATATATATTCATGTATTTAATAATGTATATTTTTTTCAGTATGGTATAGAATAGCAAAACTAATTTTAAAATCCATCCTATTCATCTTCGAGAAATAATTTGTTAAATTATTAATCTCTATTGAAAAATGCAAGAATATAGAAAAAATTTTAACATACCTCTAGCGGTAATTTAGCTGGACCGGCACCGAAATTGATCACATTTTCGAATTTTGTGTCAGTCATTATGCTTATATCGACCTGGACGTACGTGGCAGAGAACGCAGAGCAAACTGAACAGCAACTGATTAAATGATAAACAGTAACTACTAGAGAGATAGCATTAGCTAGTCGTTATCTTCGTTCAATTAGGGGGATCTTATCACCACACAACCAATTTTATGCCTTTTATCTTAATTTTCTACGTAATTAGATATCTTTGGAATGTTTTTTCGAAGTAAATTCGTCAGATGCAAAGCGTCCACTGTTGTGAGCAGTTCATTTGCTTCAATTTTATCAAGCGAATGGCATATACAGAGTGTTTCAAGATTGCTTTCGTCCAAGGTCTCAATATACAAATATACAGCGCTTTCCAAAGTGTAGTTTATCATGGTTTTATACGAAGAGTATGTGGTTGTGACATTTTTTAAATCTATTGTGTAATTTCGAGGATAATAGGTAAAAACCACTATAAAATATAATCACGCGTGTATATATTTTTAATATTATATAGCGAAAAAATATAATATATTAAGCTATATAAATAAATAATTCAAATTTTAAATTGCATATAAAATCATTATTAATTCGTAGCATATATTAGTCAAACACTTTTACTATGATTTTTCATCATTATTTATTTCAAGTCAAGTTTTTACATTGATTAAAAAATAATATAGACTTTATATAAGAGTTATTTTGCATAAATCATGGTCAATAAAATTATTTTGCATAAATCATGGTCAAAAAAATAATTACTTAAAGAAGAGTTTATGTAATCTAACGCCAATGGACAGCATCGTACAGACCAAGCAATTTGAAGATGTTGGATAATATTTCATCAAATTATAAAATGTATTCAGGTAAATTTTTTTGTCAAAATCTAAATGTTAATGGACTTTGTGAGATGCTTAAATTAATTATTTATAGAAAATTAATTCTCTTCTTTGCAAAAATAATTGAATCAAAATTTTCTTTCAAATATTTATTTTATTGGAAATTTAAATGTAATATATTATTTATATATAAATAAATATTTGACAGATCTTTCTGAAAGATTTCTATCGGCAGATAGAATAGATTCACATTAGAATTAATTATATAATATTGAGACATATTTTAATTTGATCCCGTAGATAAAAGGTTTTATACAAGAGATTCATTTTGTATAAATCATGATCGACAAATTTACTTGAAAGAGAGTTTCTACGATCTAACGCTAGTGGACAGCACCGTACAGACCAAGCAATTTGAAGATGGATAACATTTCAATGTCATCAAATCGTAAAATGTATTCAGGTAAATTTTTTGTCACAATTTAAATGTTAACGGATTTTGTGAGATATTTAATTTAATTTAATTATTTATAGAAAATTAATTCTCTTCTTTACAAAAATAATTGAATCAAAATTTTCCTTCAAATATTTATTTTTATTTTATTTTTATTTTCTGGCAAATTAAATATTAGTTGTATACATATTCGACAATTTTCTAAAAAATTTCGTTAAAATATAAATTCACATTCGCGAGTGTATTTATGAATCTACAAAATTTCTGCCTATTGAGACATCTTTATTGTTATTAATATATTGTTAATTGAAATAATTAATATATAGTTAATATAATTATATACTTTTTTAAGTTATCCAGAACGTGCATGTCTACAAGACATTTTCAGAAGACATTCCGAAGAAGTCGTATTGTTTTAAAAATGTTTTCGAGAATATCTTCTGGACGTTTTTTCGATGCATGCTGTCTGAGTGCACATACGTATATAATTATATAATACTCTAAATATATAATTAGAAATGTTGACAACATATGATGTAGCTGCTTATCAACATCCATAGGTCACGAGTAAACAAATTGATACAAATCTCATAAAAATAAATCACGCCACTAAATAAGTCATGCTTCAATTAAAATTTATTAGATTCTTATTTAGACGCACCATTGACTGTTTATACCCTGCAAATGTCAATTTATTTTTTATCTATTTTAAATGTATCCTTTAAATATTTTAAGAGAGATAACATCAAAAATCTTTATATCCACATTCATCTTCCTCAATTAATGAGAGAAATCTTCTTAAATTGACATATTAAATTTGCAACTGCTTACTTACAATTTTAAATTGGCTAAATAATCAATAAGGAATGTAGTTATCGGTTTAAATGATATCAGTAACTCTCTCTTATCCACTATATTATCTATTATTATTATACTTTATATAATAGAAATCACGATTTTGATCAACATAGTTTATCGAGATTGCCCTTTCCGTTATTGATCTTTTATATCTAAGAATATCTAAGTTTAAACAACGTAAATTCGTATAAATTAAAACTATAATATAAATGTAAAAAAATAATCGAAATATTTTAGACACAACCACAATATTTATCATCATTTACATCATTTTCAATTATTATTTAACTTACGAAGAATTTAAATAAAATTTAAAATCCACGTATACATATCACAAGGTTTTTAATGTTAACAAATGTTATCCCTTGTTATTCAACTCTTAGAGCAAAATGTCAAGGAATCGCGATTATTATTTAGAATTAAAAGCGCGTGGATATATTTAATCCTGAATATAAAATGAATATCACTATGGTTTTTTTATTATTATTTCCTAAATTATACATTTACATTTGTGGATATTTTTATAGCTTTCCAACTACACATTTTATATTTGGCGCCAGATGTGAATGCTGACGTCGACTTTCAAAATGGGGACTTTCGGCGACGAATCCCTGGTCCCGACTGGAACATTTTTTATCGATCAGCCGGCAGGAATGTTCTCTATCGAGCCGCCAGCAGGTAGAGACGACAATCGGCCGACAGCCGGTGATGAAGTTGATGCCCAGCACGCATGATCAGAGGGAGTGGTGACCTTCCGCGTCCTCAGAACGTCAGTCTATCGCAAATCGCCGGGAAGTTTGCTTCGTTGTCAGCCGTCTGCCATCGCTGTTGACTTCTTCAAGGAATCGTCGTTGAGCTTTTTGCTTTTACCAGACAAACGAAACAAAGGTAACCGTTCATAAATCCTCGTGTAACTCTGCCCTCGCCGGTATTGATTTTTTTCCTTCACGCGACTCCCTTTATTCCGAAATGGCCGGATTTTCGACGAGCGAGTCGCTCAAGGTCTCTCGGAATTTTCAGAGGGGGAATTGACGAGCAACGTAATTTTGGCACGTAGGTTCGTCTGAAGGGATAGCTTCACAATGTCTGTCCTTTTGTTACATGTGCGTGAAATAATATTGATTTTAATATAAATTTAATTGATAATGTTGACGTTTCTCTTTAGCAATCTGATTTTCAGATTATAATGTAGGTGCGGAACACAAGTTAGGAAATAAAAAAATTCAGAATATTTCATTTAGGATTATAATAGTTTTTTGTGACGCACTTTAAAGATTGAAAAAAATAATGTTCCTCTATAATTATATATTCCTATAATTTTTTCTCGTCATATATATAACTCTTTAAGAATATTGATCAAGGCTTTTATCTTCGTCTACCTTATCACATTATGTTATACAAATATTTTACAAAGATATAGCCATTAACCATTATATAATATTGATTTGCATCACATGTAACTTTTAGGAAAGATAAAAATTGAATCACGCGTTAACGCTTGCAAATTCTCTCCGGTTTTATTGATAGTCAACAGGCTAATAGATGACAGGTATAAATTGAAATAGTTGAGCTCCGAGAGTCGATTATAAATAAATTTCTTAATTTTATTTGTAAAAGAAAAATAATCTTAATTCATGCATATAAAACATGTTCAGTAAATCATGTGACATAACCAGTTGATTTTTCTCCTGAAAAAAAAAGTAAATAAATTTTTTCATTGCTCAGTTTTTTCGAAGAAATTGTTCCTCGATAAACATATAAGGCCGATATTATATTTGTCGTACGACAAATTTTTTAAATGTATTACTTGGCTGCAGAATAAAAAGTTTCTAAAGATTCAAAAAATCCCGCGACTAATCAATATACTTAAAAAATTTATCGTAAGACGAATGTAATATCGGCCTAGACTGTTATCATATTTGTCGTACGACAAATTTTTTAAGCACATTGATTGGCTGTGGGATAATAATTTTTTTCTTTATCAATTTATTAATTCGATAATTTTTTTAATCTTTGGTAATTTTTTATCCCGCAGCCAATCAATGTGCTTAAAAAATTTGTCATACGATAAATGTAATATTAGCCTAGACTGTTATCACATTTGTCGTACGACAAACTTTTTAAGCATATTGATTGGCTGCGGGATAGAAATTTAAGTCTCTAGATATTTTCTATTTTATAGCTAGTCAATACTTAAAAATCAACACTAAATTAAATACTAATCAACACTTAAAAAAATTTGTCGTATAACGACAAATGTAATACTAGATTAATTCAGGATTCTATGGAATCTAAGGTCTCGTAACGAGCATGTCGGGAATACGATTCTTGTTTTAATGTCCTTGAGACCATTATTTTATCGCGCGATACTATAGCCGTGTAACGCGATCTAAATTAAAAAATAAATGATAAAGAGAGAATGAAAAAAATATACTATTTGCTCGAAAGAAAATGACCGATAAGAACGAGTCTATTTTTATCCATTTTCATAAGTCTCTTCAATTTCCTTTCTTCTCATATTTTCCTTTCATTTATTGAGCATTATTGTTTTCTGAGCTGATAGTATATATTACTTCAATTGAAATTCGTTCATTGCCAGTTTCAATGCTTAAGTCGTTGTCAGCGAACAGTAACGACATTCGAATATCGAGGCCAATAAATAGATGCAAATAGATGCAAATAGACCATATATGCAAGAGAAATAAATCCCTATGTGAATTCGAAATATTTCTCAAGGATTTTTGTAGAAAAAAATTAACCTCTCATTATTTTTAAGAATTACTTTATAAAAATATAAGCCTTATAAGCCCTTTTTTCTGCATATATTATGTCACGCGTCGTGACATAATATTGATAACGTAGTATGTATAGATATATATTTTTATTTGATCATAGTGAATGAAATCATGCGTAGAAGGTTAAGCTCGAAACTGCGCTGCTATCAGCTGATTACTTGCGTGGGCACATATTCACGCATGCTCTGTAGTGAATGGAATCAAGATGAACTCGTCGAGAAGAATGAATTCATCGACTATTAGTCGTATAAATGTTGTAAAATATATCGCAAATTATTCAAAATACTTTAAATAATATGCAAAACATTGGGACTGAAGAGATTTTCCTAATGTCATCTTTCTCACAGAAAAAATAGACAAAAACTAATTAATTAATCTAACATCCTCTGTTATTATGAAATTTCGGTCATAGTAGACATTCTAGATTCTCTCGAGTTTTTCACATAAGTTTTTACAAAAACTTAAATATTATGTATGCAGAAAATAATATAATTGTAGATTTATTTTAACATTTTGCAGTAATTTGAATAATTAACTTCTATGACGTAAGAACATATGCAAATACTATGTCTATCTAACTACTTATGTGTCATGCATCCAGGAAAAAGGAGGTAATAATAATTCTTAAAAATGTTTAGAAATTATTATCTTATAATAAAGAGTTAATTATCAAGCTTATGTGCATCAGGGTATTTCTTGCCAAAAATCATCCTTATATATACATATGCGATAAATATTTGTGAAACACAAATAGAAGATGCTTTAGAATTTTTTTCGGCCACTTTGAAGCACATGATTTTGATAATCGCATTATCTCATAATTCCCCTTTTAGTTTAATTATAATGTTATCTCAAATAAATTAAATATTTGCTGCATAACAATGAGACAAGCTTAAAACAATCTAGAAGAAATTGTTAGAAAATATTATTTTTGAAGCTCTTTAATTGATATAGAATTGACCAGGTTGAGAGCAAATTTTTTGGAATTTCATTCTCTGCATATATATTTTCATGTGTATCACATTTTGTATAACAAATTTTGCGACAATCCACGTCTTTATTGAAACTCCACCGACATATTTGGGGTATTTATTTCCATCGTACGTACCTTTCCAGAGAGATTCATCTTGAATACAAATAAATTTCCAGACAAAATCGAAACAATTTCACGCCACTTCCCTGATCGATCTCTTCTTTCGCGGGGCATTATTTCGAAAAGACGCGATCCTCTCCATCCCGGATGATCCTATTTTCGGATCCCGGACAGCGATCCCGAAAGATCGATGTTCGCGCGAGCTTCTCGTGTGCACTGGCACCGTCGCCGATTGCCCGATGCGTCGCATCCTCGGCTTCCCACTCCGTCAGCGTATCATCCGGTCGTCGTCGACGATGCCACGCACCTCGTCGCGCCTCGTCGGCGACGCCGGACAGTCACATTCGCGCGCGATCATCACAGTCGGGTGGAGTTTTCGCGACGTCGTCGTTACAAGTGCATCGTCACTAATCTCCTTTTCCCGTTTTCTCTTTACGCAGCCCGCCAAAATGGTCTGGATCACCGTCGACGATCAGGTATACATCGGTCCCCTCCCGACTGATCTCTCTCCTCAAGAGTGTGATTTGCAATGATTCTCTTAATTGAGAGACCAATGTAATTTCGATGATAAAAATATATGTAATGTTGGAAACACGATGGCGACAATCGTACATGCATTTTTCACCGACGCGATGCATTTAATTCATCGAAATTGCAACGGTCTCGATGCGTTTTTTTTTTTGTTTTTATCGTTGCTTTAATTTTTATTTTTCATTTGCGCATGCACACACGCTATGTATGTACAGATTAGCAAATCCGTTCGCGTTTTGAAAATTCTTTCCTTGCTACAAAAAATGCAAGATAAATAATATAAAACTGTAAAATAAATAATATAAAAAAAATAATGATAGAGATAATATAAAATATAGAAGTATAATATATAATAATATAGGTAGAATAATATAAAAAAAAGAAATGCGCACGCAAGTCGTGAGATCTACATTATGTCTATTCATCATTGTTGTGATTTAGATCTTTGACGGAAGAGAAATGTAAAAACGCGCGCTAAGCATAATAATTTCACGCGCGGAAATTAATCGGCGACATTGATCTCTAAATTAATTTTTTTTCGCTCTAGTATAAGATATGAATACGCATGTATTCGAAGCGCGGAAGTGTTGTGTTATGAATTTTCCTTGTTTGCGATGTTTTGTGCGCGATAATCTTCAGTTTTGTGTTGAAAAATGATCTTCCTTTCTTCTGCCGCAATATTATCAGTTTCTTCAGATTATCATTAAAAGATCGTTTAACTGCGCGAAGAAGCTCTTAAAATATCCGTGTCTTTATATAGAAAAGGTAAGATTCGCGATTGTACGAGGCACGTTTGCTTTATTCCTGCGACAAAGATTTACCTCGATAGATTTACAGATACATTTTCTTTAAAAAGAATTTCTTGCTTATAGATGCTTAATAGTTTGCATTTCGGTGTGAAAAATATAGATTGTTTTTATTTTCACGTAGACGTAGAAAATGTGTTTTTATTGATAGAAATACTAATGTGTTATAGGCATAAATAATCAATTCTGTTTTATAATATTTTTTATTTTTTTATAATGCTTTTTGCTTAATTATTATTTTCGCAATATAATATTATTATTTGCATTTCCCTTATCGTTTTGTTAAATACATTACAGTGATACTAATATTATAATCTCATGATGTGTTAAATAATTGAAATATTTACTTGCATGATATTTTTTGTGACACACGTAAGATTTGATTGTAACGTTATTACGACGACGTTATATGAGTCAGTTTTGTGTGTTGCAATCGTAATTAATGTCGTTTACAATGCAACACTTCGCACATTCAAGTGCACATTTGTGTGATATTAAAAATGTTTCGACCATAGCAAACGCGGTGTAGAATTATGTTACCTTGCTAATAATAAGCGTCTCCTCGGGATATATACGATAAAGAAATAAGCAAATAGAAGTGTATATATGTATATATCATGATAAATTTGTCGTTTTTAACATGTTTCTTTTTAACTTTCCGTAGATACTTCGAGTTTCTTGAGACAATTTAGCAACTTTGCATCTCTGTATGATAGAGATGATGATGATGAGACATTTATAATGTAACATAATATATGCTATTCTTTGTTATGTCAGTCAAATTATTCGCCTTTTATCTTATATGCGATAGCGAGAAGCTTATATTGTTAGACTTCACAGAAATTAAATCTTGATGTAACAGTTATCATATATTTAAGACACATATTCTAGCACTGATAGACGTACGAAAAATAATTATTATCATATCGCGTAATTACAATTTGCATTTTAAACATCGAATATATTCTTTGAATTTTCTCTAAGATCCGTGTCAAGAACGAAAGATATATATAATCACGAAATAATGAAAGAAACACTGGTAAAGATACAAATATTTGTGAAGCTTTTCTTACATACAAATCTTTTAATTTGAGCTTAAAAAATTTAAAGTTTATGGATTTACTATTAAATTCCTAATTATGAAATATGAACAAATCTCATCATATGAACAAATCAAAGAATATTATAAACGTTTATATTTAAAATAAAATACGAATATTGTGTAACTCTTGCACAAAGTATCTTACTGTACATTCAATTATTACATCCTACGAAACGCTTCTATTCTTGTCGATGCAGTTCTATCTTCGCGTAGACACAGTACTACGTAATAAGAAATATATTTTCACTGTGTATATCCGATTTATGGGATGGAATAATTAATAATGTTAACGCGATGAACGCAAGAAAGTTTTAAAAAATTTGCCTCTCTTTCCAAATGTTGTGTTTTTGACAGTGAATTTTTTTATGCATGAAATTTATATAATTGATAAGTTAAAATTATTAATATATGTTGTTTCTTTTTATTTTTAACATGTGAATATAAATTTAATTTGCATTCTTTAGTTCAGTTGCACATTTATTCACAATCTAATACTTATATGGATACGCATACTTGTTAGTATGTGTCTAGAAAAGCCTTGTAATTAAAGCCTAACAGATTAATTTTGTAATCTATCTTTTTCAATTTGAGAACTTTTTCTGATTTTCTAAAATTTCCGCAGATGGCCGGCAAGCCAAATACTCAAGCGTTATACGCTCAAAGTCAACTGGATCATATGTGCGCCCTGGACATCGACAGTCGAGTGTCCTTCGTCCGTTTATCCGGTATTATCTGCACGATTGGTCCCGCATCCCGATCCGTGGAGACCTTGGAGAAGATGATCGAGACGGGAATGAATATCGCCCGATTGAACTTCTCTCATGGATCCCACGAATATCATGCCGAGACCATCGCTAATGTTCGCCAAGCGCAAAAGAATCTGACTGCCCGTGCTGGCATCAACATCCCCGTCGCCGTCGCTCTTGATACGAAGGGTCCCGAAATTCGTACCGGTCTCCTTGAAGGCGTACGTGACTATGTTTATATGTACATATATTAAAAGAGAAATTTAAGTAACGAAAATATTTTCAATTTAAAACTCGATAGGGCGGCTCGGCTGAAGTGGAATTAGTTAAGGGTCAAACTTTTAAACTGTCCACCGACAAGGCGTACTTGGAGAAGGGAAACGCACAAGTTGTTTACGTCGATTACGAAAATATTTCGAAGGTATTGAAAACAGGAAATCGCGTGTACGTTGATGATGGCTTGATCTCTCTTATCGTCTCTGCCGTTAGTAAGTTTCAAAAATTATTATCATACAATTTTATCTTTTTTCGGGAAAATAATGTTTTAAATATATAATTTAATTTAATAATTAAATATTTAATTTCATTATACATAAAAATTGTAATATAGAGAAAATGATTTTGCGACATGAATGTTAAATATTTTGCATTTAAATATGCGCGATATTGGTTTTGGAAACAATATGTTTGAACAAATTTAGAATCTATGAATGCAAATATAAAAATTAATACAAAATAATACAATATATAATACAATATAAAATTTTGAAATTATAATTATGTCGCAGAATGTAATATTCGAATGCTATTTATTTATATATTTGTAAATACATAAAAAAATACGTTTATTTTTTTTTAGTTTAAAGCTACAATTTTGATGTGCTCTATTTTTATATAATGTATTGCTAATAAATATTAATGCAATCTTAAGAAATATTAGAAAGATTGCTCACGTAATATCTTTTGTTTCTTAGGTCCTAATTTAATCTCGACCACCGTTGAAAACGGCGGTATGTTAGGTTCCCGCAAAGGTGTGAATTTGCCAGGAGTTCCGGTGGATCTACCGGCAGTGTCAGAAAAAGATAAATCCGATCTTCAGTTCGGTGTCGAACAGGAAGTTGACATGATATTTGCCTCTTTCATTCGAAACGCCGCCGCCTTAACCGAAATCCGTGGCATTCTTGGCGAGAAGGGCAAAAATATCAAAATCATATCGAAGATTGAGAATCAACAGGGTATGACAAATTTGGATGAAATTATCGATGCGTCTGACGGTATAATGGTGGCGCGTGGTGATCTTGGAATAGAAATACCTCCGCAGAAAGTGTTTCTAGCGCAGAAGTCTATGATCAGCAGATGTAACAAAGTCGGAAAGCCGGTGATTTGCGCCACGCAGATGCTGGAATCCATGGTGAAAAAGCCACGCGCCACAAGAGCCGAAACGTCGGATGTTGCTAATGCTATTCTCGACGGTGCTGACTGCGTAATGCTATCAGGTAATTCATTTTGATACATCGATATTCAAAAATTTAGGGAACGAAACAAAGAATGAAAAGAGAAATATCCTAATGTTATCTCTTTCTCATTACATTTCATTCTTTATCTACGTAATACTTTTAAAGATATAAAAAGATGGCTTATAAACTTGTAATTGCTTTTAGGTGAAACCGCAAAAGGAGATTATCCCTTGGAATGTGTTCATACTATGGCCAACATTTGTAAAGAAGCCGAGGCTGCTATTTGGCAAACTCAAATCTTTCATGATCTGTCGAGCAAAGCTTTGCCGCCTATTGACGCTACTCATGCTGTCGCTATTGCCTCCGTGGAAGCATCCGTTAAATGTTTGGCTAGTGCCATCATCGTTATCACAACATCTGGTCGATCCGCACATCTGATTGCGAAGTATAGACCTCGCTGTCCCATTATTGCAGTTACTAGATTCCATCAGGTTGCTCGACAAGCGCATTTGTATCGCGGAATATTACCATTGTACTATGAAGGTATAATATCAATACTTAATCTTATAGAGAAAAATAGAATTGTGATTTATTTTATTGTTATTAGAAAATATAGTACTTTATGTGTGAATACATTATATGAATTTCTGTTATACAGAAACGCCATTGGCCGATTGGGTGAAAGATGTGGATGTACGTGTACAATTTGGATTGAACTTTGGCAAAAGTCGTGGTTTCATAAAAACTGGCGATTCTGTAGTAGTCGTGACGGGATGGCGACAGGGCTCAGGCTTCACGAATACGCTTCGTATCGTGTACGTAGAACGAGAATTAATTAGAGAAGAGCCTGCATGCACTGTTTACAGTGACACCGATTCCTACCAAGATCTCTTTTGAATGTTGCATGAGAGACCCTTATCTTAGCGCCTTTCTTTTTATTATCTTTGTTTTGTTCCAAATAGAGTAATATACAAAATATATTTATCAAATTAACACTGCAGATCATGCAAAAATGTATTAATGCAAAGTTTCCATTTAAGCTAAACGTTTAAGCTTAACATAAATATGTTTTATACACAATAAAAAAATTATATATATAAAACATATACTTTTGATTTATTATATTTGAATTTATTTATTCAAAAGAATTTCGGATTAAGATTAGAGAAAAGATTCTAATATTATCTATGTTTCAGTATTGTCTTCTTAAATACTTAGTTTGCAAAACCAAGATTCAAGTATAGTTATTCCTGCTTAATATCCCTTCTAATATTAATTACGATGATATTTTTAGCAATTAATTATTGATATTAATCAATTTTCCTTCTATTTTTAGGAATGTCGATTAAACTCGCACTATTGGACTGGCATAGGAAACACGGTCTTTATGAAGATGTAGATGTAATACTAAAGATTACCGCGAACATATATACATAATTATATCATATTGTCACGAGTTCCAGTAAATACAGTTATATGAGACTAATTTTATTAGCATAAACCCAGTATTATTTTATTATTGAGTAATATACAAATGCATATAGAGAAATAAAAGTTGCATACATAAGATGTATACAGATATTATGTAAGTGAAACAATGATCTAAAGACATGATATAAAGACAAATAACTTTGGATTATTAAATTAAAACAGCTTGTCGAGTGTTACAACTTTGTGTGTTCCTGTATAAATAAATAAAGACATTTATTTTACAGTAATGAATGTCAATTGAAAGTTTAAATCATACAAGTTAACATTTGAATACATTATAGGTTTGTTTTTTATTCCTGCACTGCTGCACTAGTGCAATTAGTTAGAGTGAAAGAAAGTATGTTTGTCTCTTTCTAACTTATTGCACTAGTGCAGCAGTGCAGGAATAAAAAACAGACCCTATGTCTTTATCTAAAAGATTGTGGGTAAAATCTTTTAAATTTAAAATACGTATTCAAGTATAAAATATTTTCTGGTGGATGGACAACATCCTCCAAGTATTCTTCAGGTATTATCAATACTGATGATAATAATTGGGTAAACTGATGAGTATAAACATATATTTGTAATACTAATATTATCTTTGAAAATTTTAATAGTTCCATAATTTTATTTTGCATTATATGATACTACTAGAAATCATAACTTTTAATAATTGACAATACTTAGCATGCATTAATATGACATTTTAATGGCTAAATTAAAAGATTATTATTTTATATACTTGCATAATAAAAATAATTACAATATTAGATACATATAACATATAAAACAATAACAATATTAGATATATATGAAAAAATATTGTTTAACTAATATTCAAATTTATAATTATATTTAAAATGTGATAAAAATACAGAACAAAGCTAATTGTGTCAGCGAAACTTATTAACAATCATCGAATACTTGTTTGATCATTATCTTGAATTATGCTCATATATAAAATCCAATTCTTATATCTCAAGAAATAGCTATATAAGTATACATTATATATGTGTGTGTGTGTGCGTGTGTGCGCGTGTGTGTGGGGGGGCGTGTAGTAATAGTATAGCAATAATACATTAATTACGAATTTTTTTAATATTATACATTACTTTTTATTTATTATTTGTTTAGATTTTTATAATATTGGTAAAGAAAAATGCAGGGAAAATAAATTTAATATGATATCATTTCTCTATCGTATCTACGCAAACAGGCGGTATCAATAATAGTAATTTAATAGTATATCATCAACATTATTTATTATAGTAGTTTAATAGTGTATCGTCAACATTATTTATTATATGACGATGCAAAACACACAGCGTGTCGTATACATTGCAGAAAGACAAGTAACATACAATTACTGTTTCTATTTATAAAAAGACTAAAAATAGAAAGTATAGATTTAAACTGAAATTTTCAATACTCTACGAAGAATCGTCAAGTAAGGAAGACGTCTGAAATTGAAATATCTTATGACACGTTAAAAAAAATTAGCATAACAGAGAGATATAATTAATTTTTAAAACTTATAAATTTAATTAATTATTTAATTATTAGTAATAAATTTTCGATTGCAATTAGAAAAATTGATTGATTTTCAGTTATAAGTTTTAATAATATATATTATTAAATTTAATTGCGGTAACAAATTCGCGATTTCAAATAACAAATAAAATTGAATTCTTTTTCCGAAAAATCTCAGTTCAAATAAATAATAATATTGCTCCTTAAAAAGTTCAAATAAAATAGCTAATATATGATATTAATTGTCATTGGATTAAGATTTTTAGGAAGTTCAAAGCATGAGGATGATTTGATATGAGGATCAAAGCATCGTACATTCCTATTATCCGTATTTTTGCGCAACGGTTACGTTCTTTTTGGTTGCAAGGATTTTAATCCTTTATGAGATGCATCAATTCGTGTGAAAATTAATATCAAACATTATAAATAATTGTACGATAAATAGAAATGTGTGTGTATGAATTATTGCAATTTAGAAGATCTATAAGGTTTGTTTATTAAATATTTTTTTCTTGTGTGAAATACACATAATATATAACATTTTTTCAATTTGAATATGATTTGCTCAAAAGTTAAAATCGCAGGAATTATTGTGATTCAATTGAACTTTTTAAAAATATAATTTTATTTTTTTGCACGAAGTATATCGAGTTTAAATGCATACAATAATATAATATGAACTAGCGCTACGTCACAATAATAATTGTGTATATTGTATTGATGTATTGTGAGACAATATCTCGAACAGAGGAAAAATACCCGGGTCTTATTAGAACTCTGATCTTCTTAGCTGGCAACCTTTTACTGACAATCAGACGAAAGAGTAAGTAAACTTTTGCAAATGTACTTTGCTTTGTAGCTGAAATATATCTCTAATTTGGTCATATTTCTCAATCCAATAATCATTATGAATGATATTTATTGATTAGAAAATTATGTAAGTAACTGAATTGGAAATCAAATCCGAAATCTTTCGCTTTACAGGCAATCATTTTTACAATATCTATTTAAACAGCACACTTTATTCCTCTTTTAACACAATAATATAATATACAACTTCAAAAAAGTGTTGGAATTTCGCTTAATGAGTAGTTCCGAGTACCACAAAGAAATCCGGATAATTATCGATATACATATATAACTATGAATATAATGTGAAATTCCAGAATTTCTGCAAAAATTTCAATACTCATCTCTCCTTGCATGAAATGATAATTTTCATTTAGATTTTAGAATATATGATAGTTTTCAGAAGAATATTTTTTTAAAAAAAGCAGCTGATATAAAAATCAATAATACAAAGAAATATTAAGAAAATGACCATAATTTAGGTCGGATAGTGACAATTTAATATTTTTACACAATAATGAACTCTAAAGGAAAAAAGAATATTAAATTGAATATTAATTATTTTATTATTTGAATTTTATTATTTTGTTTATCTGAGAAAAAATTAATGATGATTATTTAAGACTATTAACTTAATCATTTAAGACTACTAACTCTAAGAATATTAAGTTAAGATTGAGAGTTTTAAAATCTTATTAGAATTATTTATTCTAAAATTTATGTGTGTGGATCGTTTATTTTGAGAATGATATAAAAGAAATAATTCGGTTTCTAAATATTTTGCAAAAATTAATTTATTATATTAATTATATATATAATTATATATAATTATATTAATATATATATACATATATATATATATATATACATATATATATATATATATATTTATTTATTTATTACTATAAATAATAAATAATAATAAATTAATATACAAATAATTTGAATGTGATTTTGATTCTTGAGGAAGAGAAGGATAATATGATTTGATTGTGAGTATTGTTGATGACATTATTAAAGTTGTTTGATCAATGAGTCAAATTGAAAATGCTGATTTGCATACGCAAATATATGTATAATGGAACAAATTCGATTAACTGTGTGTGTGTGTCATATACGAATTAGTTCAATGAACGCGATTGGCACGCGTTCTTACGTGTTATTTTCTAGTGGTCTAATAATATAATCGAAAATTAATTAAAAAACACAATATAACCGTAAAAAATACGATTTCGGACATTTATCTAATATTGTCAAATCATTTTCGTTTATCGCGCAAGCTAATAAAATTCATTAATTACGATGATAAAGACGCGCAAAGTAACCGCTTGTTATATCTGTCGGTGTAATAAATCTGAAAACGAGTTTTATACATTTGTAAGTCTTTTTGCCAGCACGCATGATCAGAATCATTATGGACTGATGACCTTCCATGCCCTCAAAATACCAGTTTATCACAGATCGTCAGAGAGTTTGCTTCGTTGTCAGTCGCCTGCTAATGCTGTTGGTTTCACGGAATCGCTGTTAATTTTTCTTGTTTTACTAGGCAAATAAAATAAAGGTAATTATTTATTCATTCTTATAATTTTTTCTCACAAGGAAAGGATCGGAAGTATTCCTTTCCTTGTGAGAAGGTGATTTTGATAATCATACATCGTAGTATAGATCAAAATAAGAGATGCGTATTTTCTTATACGTACCTGTTAAGAGAGTGAAACACTCTTTAAAAAAAATTGTTTTTTATATTTCTAAACGAATACCATCGAAACGGTAAAAGATATAAAAAAAGCTTTGTGATTTTTAACAGTACTTTAAAATAATATAATCAGATGTTTCGCAAATGTCATATTTTTTAAATCTCCTTTTTTTTCGCTGTTTTTAAAAAAATTTTTAAATTTCTCTTATAGCAAAACTTAAGCATATTTAACACTATTCAATCATATATGATAAGACTATATTTTGAGGAAACTCATTTTTTAAAAATCAACTAGAAATATCTATATATAAGCGCGCCTCATTTATATTCACTTCATGGCACTCATCATTCATGACAACAGTTTTTTCTTTACAACTTCACATAAATAGACATAAGATATCAACAAATAATTTATTATATGTATATTAAAATTTTCTTATTATATATTTATTTATTATAGCAATATTATATTAGTAATAGTGTATATTACAAAAAATAATTTATTTTTATGAGAAAAAATAATTTATTTTCATCTATTAAACATAAAACTAGTCGAACAAAGAATAGTATTTTCGATGAGATATCCAAGATTAGATAAGAATTTGTTATCAGTGTAATGAACATAAATTGATACGTTTATATAATCGTGAAAATGAAGTGACATTGACAGTAATATAATTTTAATAGGCCATAATATAATTTTATTTATAATTACGTGCAACAGAACACACATATATGCATTATAAAAGTATCCCTTGTTGTGAATTAAAGTAATAGTTTAATATACGGGTCACGATTCAGTGCAAATAAATTTACATATGTTAAACATATATTAATTTTTAAACAATTTTATTGTTATTCATGCTTTTACTTATGCTTGTTTTAAAATTTAATTGTCTTCTTATTAAATTATATCATTTAATTATCTTCTTATTAAATTATTTCATTTAATTATCTTCTTATTTAATTATATCATAAGTTCTTCTAAAGGTTAAAGTAATGCCATCTGATATCATATTGATATCACATTGACGTCAAATTGACCAAAACATGACGTAAATTTGACCATAATATGACGTCAAATTAACTTTTATATTTTCTTTGGATTATATAATAGAAATATGCTATTTTTTATAAAACTTGGAAAATACTTGTCGCTCGATGTCGATAAAATAATTAATCATTTTTCAATAGTTTCATTGAATTTATTTTAATGTATATGTTGATATATAGAATAATATTTAGTTTTCTAACTTATTTTTGAAAAAATACGTTTTCGAAATACAATCTTATCATTTATGGCTGTATTAAATATGCTTTAAGTTTTGCTATAAGAAAAATTGTACAATTTAAAAAAATTTTTTAAATTAGCGAAGAGCGAATTTCGAAGAAAAATGATATTTTTAAAAGATCTGATTGCTAAGGGATACTTTCAACTTTTTCTTATCAATAGTAATTTTCTGCTCTCTATCTTTTGAAACAGGATTTTCAACAAGTGACTCACAAAAATTCAAGATCTTCAAATTTTCGGGGATATATTGAATGATATTTTGACGTGTATTTTTTTTCTTTGTTTAAAGTAATATATATATATATATATATATATATATGTATATATATATATATATGTATATATATATATATATATATATATGTATATATAGCTCCATAATATGCTGTTTCTTTGTGTTATATACACATACTTATAGAATATTATCAATTTTATTTTCTATTATCAATATTGAGATTATAGTAATCTTCAGAGATTATAGTATACATGTGTAAATAGAGCACAAGTTACTAAATGAAAAGTTCACTTTATTTAAAATTAAAATATTCTGATGCACTTTAAAGATTAAAATGTTTCTCTCTCTCTCTCTCTCTCTCTCTCTCTCTCTCTCTCTCTCTCTCTCTCTCTCTTCCCCTCTTTCTCTGTATATTTACAATTTTCTTATCATTTATATAATTTTAAAAGTATCTTTTTATCAAAATTTTTTATATTATCAGATTATGTTATACAAATACTCTGTAAAGAGATATAATCCATTAGCCATTACATAATATTAATCTATATCATATGTGACTTTTAAAAAAGAGAAAAATTGAATTGCATAAATGATGATTAAAAATTTTCTTTAGTTTTATTGAGAGCCAACAACTAATAAGTGATAGATATAAAGTGAAATAAATTAAAAGTTGTATCATGTAAGAGTTGATTACTTACGCACTCGATTTACGTACTCACATGCATGTTTATAAATAGAATCAAGATTAAAAATGTATCATCATGAACTGATAATCATGTAAATATTGTAAAATATTATAAAATGTATTGCCAGAGTTCTTCAAATATTTTCAATAACTAGCAATACATTGATTTATAAAAGTCCAGTATGTAATTGTTTAGTACTATTTTTTTCACAGAAAACAGAGAATAATTAATCAATTAATTCTGAATTAATTTATCTTGTAATTACTATGAAATTCCGGCAATATCGAATAAAAATATATTGTAGTTATAGTAAACACACATTCGTCACATTTTTTCGAGTTTGTCATTGCAAAAACTCAAACAGAGTGAAATATAATAATAGATTTATTTTAACATTAATAATTCATACGAAAAATCATTTGATTAATTATTCCAAATGACGTAAGAACATATGCGCATCTAATTATTATGTACTTATACCTGTGCTATACATCCGGAATAATACTTAGAAATGCTCAAGAATTCTATTAGATTAGAAGTCAGCTATTGATTGAATACTCTTGCATGTGATAAACGTTAAAGTGTAGAACAAACACAAAATATTTTGCTAGAATGCAATTTCTTGAAATGTATTTTGCATAATACTATTGCAATCATAACGACAGCAATTACTAGTGCAAACAAATGCTCTTAAAATATATGATTTTAACAAATGTTTCAGTACATATGTATAATATCATTTAGTTTAATTAAAATTTAAAATAAATATTAAAATATCTTAAATAAGTTTAATCTGTTTACTTTAATGTGTAAAGTGTAAAACATTGAACGATCTAAAATGATTAGAAATAATCATTATCATAGAAATAATATTAGAAATAATTTTTGGAAAAATTCTTCAATTTTAAAATGGTATAATAAGAGTATGCTTCTTCATAAATTTATTTTAAATGCCATTCTCTGAACTCTGTAATATGTTCTGTATAATAAATTCTGCGATAATACATATCTTTATTGAATCATTGGTATAATTGGTACTTATCTACACTATGCAATTTCCCAGAAAAATCTATCTCCGATTTAAACATAAATTCTAAACAGTTTTTCTATTTTTTTGAAAAAATGAGATTTTTTCCATTTGGCGAATAATCTTATCTTTTTGGATTCCAAACAGCACCAAAAGAGTCATATTCGCATGAGTTTCTTTTATATATTGGCATCCTTTAAAATTGTCCGGAAAATGTATCAGATTCTCATTGCGTCAGCATTTACGGTTGATGTCAACGACATATTTCCGGTTAGCGATATCGAATAATCGTACACATTCGTACGCGATGATTACTAGGCGTTTTTGCAACATTATTGTCGCAAACATATCGTTAAACTAATCTCATTCTTTCCCTTTTTTTTACATAGCCTGCCAAAATGATTTGGATCACCATCGATCATCATCGATCAGGTATATCGTCTCATCAATTGCGATCGGTCTTCCTCTTTTGCCGAGAATTTCGCTAAAAAGTGCGACTTGCAGTGATTCTTAATTGAGGAATCAATATAATCTTGATGTGAACTTGATTTCTCGGCGCAAGAATGCCTTCTGATACATACATAAAATATTAAAATCATTTATATGTACAATATTTCTGCAAGTATGATGCATTTAATTTGAAATTACATTGGCTTCGATATGTGATTTTTTTCGTTTTTGTGACTTAGTATATTTAATTATTCTATTTCTCCATAAAACATGTCTATGTCGATACAATTTTATATTCGTACAGTCCAATAGTACTTTAGAATAAAAAGTATATATTTTTTAAGAAGTATATATTTTGTATATTCGTGGGAATGATCAAAAATTAACTCTGTGATATACAAAATTGTTTTAAAGGATTAATGCGGATTTTCCAAATGTACTTGTTCTATTTTTTAGTAAATTTTGTTTATTCATGTGAAATTTGTAACTGACACTTTAAAATTGTTAGTATAATTGTATATATTAATCTTTTAATGAATTATTAATAAATTATTAATAAATAAATAACTTATAAATAAATTATTAATATATTATTTATTTTTACTTTAATGCGTAAATTTTATTGTACGTTCTATAATTCATACACTTATACATCTACTCACAATCTGTGTACGATTTATGTAGGAAAACGTATACTTATGTATTTAGATACAAAATCGTCTAATTAAAACCTAATCAATTAATTGTCTAATCTATCTTTCTCAATTTGCGAGCTTTTTCTGATTTTTTTCAAATTTCCGTAGATGACTTGCAAGCCGAATACTCAGACGTTATGCGCTCAAAATCAACTGGATCACATGTGCGCCTTGGACACCGACAGTCGAGTGTCCTTCATCCGTTTATCTGGTATCATCTGCACGATCGGTCCCGCATCCAGATCCGTAGAAATGCTGGAGAAGATGATCGAGACGGGAATGAATATCGTTCGGTTAAACTTCTCTCATGGATCTCATGAATATCATGCAAAGACCATCGTTAATGTTCGTCAGGCGCAAAAAAATTTGACTGCTCGTGCTGGCATGTACATTCCCGTTGCTATCGCCATCGATACGACGGGTTCTGAAATTCGTACCGGTCTTCTTGAAGGCGTACGTTGATTATACATACATATATTTTAAAAATGAAAATAAAGAAATGAAGGTAATATATTTTAAAAGTCTTATTATTGTCACAATAGGGCGACTCGGCCGAAGTGGAATTGGTCAAGGGTCAGACTTTTAAACTGTCAACCGACGAGGCATACATGAAGAAAGGAAATGCACAGGTTGTTTATATTAGTTACAAGAACATCTCGAAGGTATTAAAAATAGGAACACGCATATTTGTGGATGACGGCTTAATCTCCCTTATCGTTTCTGACATTAGTAAGTTTCAGAAATCATTGCAATTTTTTTAAAGAAATAGCGTATTTTTAAAATTTAAAATATCTAAAAGTTTTAGTTCTATGAGCGACCAATGATATTTCGCAAATGTAAAAGAGTAAATAATTAGATATATAGTTTGTATTTAAACATAAATCATTTACTTCCAAATTAACATATTTTAACAATTTGGAAGATTATAAATTTAAATAAATACTAATAAAAAAATTAATACAGTATACATTTCAACAGAGTTTTGAGAATTATTATATCACTTGAAGTAAATATTTGTGTTTTTTATTTAATATTTTTAAAGCATAAAGTAGCATTGATTTTTTGAGTTTCAAACTACAATTTTAAAATGCTATTTTTTTTAATATATAATAAATATTAATTTGCAATTTAAGACATTATGAAGAATATTTGCATAATTCCTTTTGCTCCTTAGGTCCCGATCTAATCTCGACTACCGTTGAATACGGTGGTATGTTGGGTTCCCGTAAAGGAGTAAATTTGCCAGGAGTAGCGGTGGATCTTCCTACAGTGTCGGAGAAGGATAAATCTGATTTACAGTTCGGTATCGATCAAGAAATCGATATGATATTCGTCTCCTTCACCCGAAATGCCGCCGCGATAAGCGAGATCCGTAGTATCCTCGGCGAGAAGGGTAAAGGCATCAAGATTGTAGCGAAGATTGAGAATGAACAGGGTAGGACAAATCTCGACGAGATTATCGACGCGTCTGACGGTATAATGGTGGAGCGCGGTGATCTAGGGGTAGAAATACCCCCGCAGAAGGTGTTTCTAGCTCAGAAGGCTATGATCAGCAGATGCAACAAAGTCGGGAAGCCGGTGATTTGTGCCACGCAAATGCTGGAATCCATGGTGAAAAAACCACGTGCCACAAGAGCTGAAACATCGGATGTTGCTAATGCTATTCTTGACGGTGCTGACTGCGTTATGCTATCAGGTGATTTATTTTGATATATCGATATTCAAAAATTTAGGGGACAAAACAAAGAGTGAAAAAAGAAATAGTCTACAGATATTATATATAAGAGAAATATTCTAGAAATATTATATACAGGGTGGGGAAAAAGTATGGAAGCAAACAATTATTTCCGAAACTATTCATCTTCCAAAAAATTCTATGAATACTCATAGACAGTGTATCATATGACAACAGGTACAATTACATGTTATTAGTGGACGCAACTGAACGTCATGATGCGAAATCAGTAAGCAATGTCAATGTGCATACAAATTGTTTGTATCACAATTGTTTCGTAACTGAAAGTGTTTTTAAGGGAATGGGGCTCATATGCAGTGTTTTGTAAACGTTTCGACATCAGCTACAAGAATCTGTAACAAAAACTGACGAGTTCCATTTGAAATTTTTTACGTTATTTGTATGCAGCTCGTAAGAGTCATTTCAAGGTCATGCCGTCTATGCCACATAATACATCGTTTCATACCATAAAAATTATGTCTAAGACATTTTGTCGAAAAATGAATAGTTTCGGAAATAATTGTTTGCTTCCATACTTTTTCCCCACCCTGTATAACGCTATTTACATTTCTTTCTCGTTATATTTCATTCTTTATTTTTTATTTCATTCTGTTTAAAGCTACTTTTAAAGATATAAAAAAGAAGGTTTATAAACTTGCAATTGCATTTTCAGGTGAAACCGCAAAGGGAGACTACCCTTTGGAGTGTGTTCATACAATGGCCAACATTTGTAAAGAAGCGGAAGCCGCGATTTGGCAAACTCAGATCTTTCACGATCTATTGAGCAAAGTTGTGCCGCCTATTGACGCCGCCCACGCTGTTGCTATTGCCGCCGTGGAAATATCTGTTAAATGTTTGGCTAGTGCTATCATCGTTATCACAACATCCGGTCGATCCGCACATCTGATCTCGAAGTATAGACCTCGCTGCCCCATTATCGCGGTCACCAGGTTCTCTCAGGTCGCTCGACAAATGCATCTGTACCGCGGAATATTACCATTGTACTATGAAGGTATAATATTGATAACGAAGTAATTTTAAACAGTCATTTACCATAATGTTATATGGGAAAAAATAAAATTATATATCTCTCTTATATATGCATGACATTGAAAGGATAATTTTATTTTGAAAGAAAAAATTTATCATTATTAAATGCAGTACAATTTTATGTGTGTAATTATATATATTATATAAAATTCTATTATACAGGAGCGTCATTAGCCGATTGGATAAAGGACGTGGACACGCGTGTACAATATGGATTTAAGTTTGGAAAAAAACGTGGCTTCGTAAGAACTGGCGATTCGGTAATAGTTTTGACAGGCTGGCAAGAGGGCTCGGGCTTCACGAATACGCTTCGTGTAGTGTAAGTAGAAGATTTTGCACGTCCGATTTATAATGACATCGATTTCTATGGAAATCTCTTTTGAATATTTCATGAGAGATTCTTACTCTTTCTTTTGTCACGTCTATGTTGCGAATAATAATTATACGAAATATATTTGTCAAGCTCTAATATTATAAATTCATATATTACAATCATCACGGATAAATGATTTGAAGCATTTTAAACAATTATATGCAAAGTCTTTGTATTATATGCTATAATATATTTTATATGCATTAGAGCAATTTTGAGTAATTTGTAATATATATATATATATATATATATATTTGTAATATATATATATATATATATATATATATATATTTGTAATATATATATATATATATATATATATATATATATATATTTGTAATATATATATATATATATATCATTTTGAATTAAATATATTTTGAATTTTGAAATAAATATATACATCTCATTATCAGAATCGAGATAATTCTAATATTATTGTTTATGTTTCAATATATTGCCTTCTTAAATATTTAATTTATTAAGATTTAAGTATATTTTTACTTATATTTTTGGAAATAAAATGACTAATTATTTGTTTTAATCGATTTTCCTTTTATTTTTAGAACTGTCGACTAAACTGGCACTGTTGAACTGGGATATAGGAGACATAATCCTCTTATGAAGATATAAATGTAATGCGAAAAATCAAAAATATGTATGTACATAATTGCGTATTATCTTGTCACAAGTTATATCAGTAAATACAGTTATACGAGACTAATTTTATTAATATAAACCCAGTATTATCTTATTGTTGAGAAAACACAAACACATTCAAAAACAAAATACAAATGCATACGATATATACAGATGCTATTATATAAGCGGTACAATGATGTATATCATAATGAAAAGAAAAATATAACTAGGAGATTATCAATTTAAAACAACTTGTTGAGTGTTAAATCGTCGTTTTATGTAAAAATTTTTATGCAGAAATAGATAAAGACGTTTATTTTGCAATATTGATGGATGTTAATTATATAAATGGTAATATCAATCACATATGAGAGTATAATATATGAACATACCTCGTATCTTTAATCAATATTTGTAACCAAAATATAAAATTTTTAAATTTAAAAAATTATTTTTCCAATATATTATTACACACCATGGTAAACTGGTGAGACATAAAATATTTGATACTTGGAAACATGATTTTTTTTAATTTGAAGATTTTATTTTTTTGATGATTTTCTGGATGAGCAGTCGTAAATCATGTGCTGATGATAATAATCACATAGACTGGTGAATTTTTTAAAATATATATTTGTAATGTTAATATTAATTATGAAAATTTTAATAATTCAACATAATTTTATCTTGCATTATAATATTAAAAACACAATAATTTTCAAAGCTTTATTTTAAGGAAAGAATTAGTTTATTTTATTGTTCATATGTTATTAGTATATTATTATCAAATATATATTATTTATATAATTAAGAATACTTGTGGCATGTATTAACATAATATTTTAGTGGTCAAACTAAAAAATTATTTTTTTACATTTCATATCAATTGTAAATCATTTATCAATTTATAATAAAAAAATTGTGATTGAAAATAATTGATATTGTTTATCAATTTATAATTAATATTTATTGAAGTACACATTTGAATCTTTTTATTCCTTATGCGTTCTATGTATGGTAGAAACAATTAATAATAACATTATATGTATATATATTATATATATATATATATATATATATATATATATGAAAATATATATAAATAAATATATTATATATATATATATATATATATATATATATATATGAAAATATATATGAAAATATATATATGTATATGAAAAAATATTGCTTAAATAATTATAATTATTAATTATATTTACTTATCTTAAATGTACAGGTAAATAGAAAATTAAGTTTAATACAAGTTTAATACAACAATTTATTAAATTAATTAGAATATTATAATAAAGCGTATAGCGCGCATCATTCAATGTAATTTACTATGAATAGTTTGAAAGAAAAGAAAAAAAATATATATATATTTATATATATATATATTTTTTTTTTTTTTCTTATATGTATGTGTGTATGAATAATATATAATTAGTTAATTTAATTGTATATATAAATATATTTAAATATATATAATTATGTATTAAAGTTAGATACACATTACATATAATAGTGCGACTCTATGGGCCTCTTTAATGTTATTAAATACAATATACAATATTTTATGTATAATTATCTACATAGTTTTATATGTGATTATATATGGACAACTAATTTTTTTTCTTTAAACATAAACACTTACATTAAAAAAAAAACCAATGCAAAAGGTATTCTTTACCCCTGTATTTCTTTCTAAATATTTATATTATAACTATTGAAAAATAAGAAAAAGAAATTATTTAATTTCAATGTTATTTTATATTTTTGTCAGTAAAAAATCATATCCACAATATGATTTTGCAAATCTGCTATTAAAGGAATAACCAAAGGTTTTAAGAATAATCGATGATTAATCTGCATAGATATAAAAAGGAAGCAGGAGTATTAAATATATTTCAAAAAAGTCATGAAAATACACACATAAAATAATCTTTATATATTATTTTAAGATAATTTCTAGATAAAAAATTTTATCTCTCTTTTATGTTAAAACATCATAATTATAAATAATGCTTAATAATACTTAATAATACTTAATTAATAAATAATTACAAATTAATTACATATATAAATAATATATTAAATGAAATAATTTATTATGTTTAATAATATATAACAAATATATAATATTATAATCTATATAATCTATATAATCTATAATTAATATAATCCTAATAAAATAATTTATCATATTTAATAATAATTCTATAATATTATAATTTATCTTCTTCTCTTTTTCTCTTTGTTTCTCTCTCTTTCTCTCTCTCTCTCTTTTTCTCTCTTTATATTAATATTATTGTGTATTAATCACATTTCATTTATTCACGAAGTAAGTACGAGAGAATATTTTTCACTTTTCTTTCCTTAACTTTTTTTAACTTTATTCTTTAATTTTTTTCACAAATTGTCAAAATTCACATGATTTGATAATTGTAAATAATAGTGAAGTCGCAATGCATAAGCGCAACAGCCAATTAGAACATCTCGGAAAAGAGACAATAATATACTTCGAAATTTTCGAGTGTTGACATACTCTTTTAAAAGGAATATTTATTTAATCATTATTTTTGACCATACGTGCGTACACACATACAGAGATAAACAAATAATTCTTATATTTTAAAAAATAATTATATAACAAAAAATTTATTAATTGTACCTTTTCTATAATGTTACGCATTATATTTTATCATTTGTTTAGGCTGTTACAACATTATGTGCCGAAAAAAAATACGAAAAAAATGCAAAGAAAATAATAAATCCAATAATACGTTATTAAATACAATATACAATATTTTATGTATAATTATCTACATAGTTTTATATGTGATTATATATGGACAACTACTTTTTTTCTTTGCTTGGTTAGACTTATGTTTACAGATGATATTATGGACATTATGATGACGGGCGCAAACATGATGTGCTCAAACATGTCGCACAAACATACAATCACTGTGCTATATTTATAAAGAGCTTGGAAATAGACATATAGATTCAAAGAAACGACGATGAATTATTGAGCAACGAAAATATAAGCTGGAATATTCCATGGTTAAAATTAGAGTAAGTACATATAATATAAAGATATTAAGTCATAAAGTTTCCAACTAAATTTAAAGTAATATTCTTAATTTTAACTGCGAATGAACTTTTTTTTTATTGTAATAAAATCGATTAATTAATAGCTTTAAAGCTAAAATTATAAATTTAAATAATATATTATTAAATTCTATTATGTTGATGAATTTAATTATCGAATTTTTTTGTCGAAATTTATTCAACTAAAATCTATTATATGAACAGATGGCATAAATTTAATTATATTTTCTCGAATATTATAATCTATGAATATTTTTCTTTAATTTTAATTTATATATTTATTCATTAATGTTAATGATAACAGCACAATCTCTCAATTATAAAATAAATTAAAAATTATATATTATAGTCACACACACACACACACACACACACACACACACACACACACACACACACACACACACAGAATATTATACATATATGAATTCTCTCAATAGGTACACCTTGACGTTGATGGGAGGGCTTAGTACCTGAAAGATTTATCCTGAAGGGGAAGCTAAGCACCCAAACGATTCATGAAAATGTTGTAAAAGTATTGTCATGAATCGCAAATGATATATGATCATATGTATTAAACATATTTAAAGTACATTTAATTTAAGTATATAAGAATATTTAGGCATATTGATGAGTTTTCAATGTTTTGCGAATGATTAATCATGTCTTTGTGAGATATTTCAATTTCGTTACGAAATTTAGAGAATTCCGTTCTATCTCTTATTACATGTACCATATATTGCTATAATTTATACAGTTTATCCTCCTCCTCCTATAGTCCAACCTCCTTTATTCCTACATTTTAAAGATATATATGTTATGCTTTGACAAGCTGGATAAAACAATTTATCATGATTTTTGCGATATCGTAATATTTATGAACCGTTATTATATCATAATGAATCGTATTTGCATCCATTGATTTTACTTTCTTCCACTTCGAGATTAATGCTTGCTCGAAATTACTTCATCAAATCGAAGTGCTATTCTATGAAACATATTTTGTAATGGTGGAATTCGGAAATGCCATACGTCCAAGTGCAAGAGTTCAAAGTGTTACATGTTGACGTGTGGGATTGGCAATTCAAAGTGTCGTGTGTATAGATTAAGCGGCTTTGACAATTTGACATGAGAGAAGATTTAGGAAAAGCATCAGCCAATGAAACAATCCTTGGATGAGTAATTTAACATTTGTATATTAATTGTGTCTGTGTGTGTATTAATTGCGTGCGAGGGATTTGTATTACATGATTAATCACGCAATTTAATTTATTTATTCAGACGATTTAAAAGAGAATCAGAGACAAAAATTTTATATAAAAGCTATAATCTTGTAAGAGTTTTTATTTTTAAAAAATTATAATTTTTATAGAACTTTTACATATAGAATTGAAGAGAGTTAAAGTCTTTTCAAAATTTATAATATTCCATTAATCTCTTTATTATACATATATGTACACATATACAAATATATTTAGTGTTTATAATAATATTTTTTTATATTTATTAATTATTTTGGAATAATAATTTAATTTGTATCTTCTGTTTGTGTGTTATAGATATTACCTTCAAATATAAATATTAACTAGACTGTTTCGTTTAGTAAGTAACAAGTTTTTATTTTATTTTGACAAATTTATAGATATTGCAGACATAGATTGTAATTTTTAAATAGATCTTTAAGACAGATTAGACATTGCTTTAAAATAGATGAACTAGAACAAACTAGAACAACTAGATCAAATAAGTTTTAATATTTTTTTTCAACATAAAATATTAATAAAATATTAATAAATTTGAGCATAAGTTTCAAAGAAAGATGGAAAGCATTTTTTTTCATCAATTTTAACTAATTTATTTTGATAAAAAACGTGATTTTCTTAATTATGTGTAATGATAATAATTAATTTTTATTATAACACATGTTGATTTTACGCTAATTCCTTTCTAGCTCATTTCTA